CAAAATTACTGTGTAATCATTACATTTCAGGAAGCTGGAGCTGACATGCACTATGACCAGACCCATGTAAGACATAATAGCAAAGAACGTGTGTGTGTGATGATGCTTTAATTAAAATGTACATTTGAAAAGGCTGTAGCCAAGTTTTTGTTTCTTACACTTGAAAACAGGTTTAAGTAGGCATACATGAGAATATTAGACATCTTTAACCAACCTGTGGAATACGCATAACTCAAAGATGTCATAACTGCATTGACTGTCTAATGCTTATAGAGCTCTATCATCATCGTGACAGGCATTTTACAGGAAAAATGTTCTACGTGATAGGTACTATACCATTTTATATATAAAGAAACTGAAGTTCAAATGGAGAGATAGCAATAAAAGCGACAAGTATGAGGTTTGTGTGACCCAAAGCCACAGCCTTGCTGGGTGCAGGCTTTTGTGCCTGTAATATCAGTAGTGGGGAGGCTGAGGCAGGAGAATCACCTGAGCCAGGAGTTTAGACCAATTTGGGCAGTGTAGTTAGATCCCGGTCTCAGAAACCACCATCACAAAAAACCCCTCAGCCTCCCCCACTAAATAATTACCTATTATATACATTTGACAACCAGGAAATACTAAGCTACGCAGGGATTCGATAAACATCTTGAAGGTCAGTGATGAGAGTCTTGGTCTGGATTCGTACACTGTATCTTCTCAGAACTTCAAATCACTCAACAATTTATTCGCGTAGCAGGTCCTTGAGGCCAGGACAGGCAAATATTGTTTTACCAGATGTGGAAGCTGGAAAAACAAAGAAATCCTGCAGTTTGCTTAAGACCATAGTTACCTGCCAAAAAAAAAAAAAAAAAAAAAAATGCAGATGCCCAACTCAATCCTTATCTCCCTTAAAAATGTCCACCTCTCATCAAGTTTACGTTATCTCTGATTATTTAGGTAATAAATCCAGTGCATGTAAGGAAAAATAATAACAATAATAACAGGACCTGTCCCAAATGCCTGCTGCAGGCTGAGTTCTCCCCGAGTTGTCTGTGCTGCTGGGGACCCTGCCAAGGCTGAGGTCACCTAGCTGCCTGGCACTGAGCGATGTGATAAAGTGGACACTATTTGAATCCAAGCTTTCTAGCTTAAAAGTGCAGTATTTTCCATGCTCTGAAATGGGTATAAAATGCCTTTCCAAACTCTTAAGACAGAATGTAGATGACCTTCACTGTCTCCGTAATGAATTATGGTGGCACTTTAAGTACTTGTCAGGATTGAATTAATAAATTCATATAAAATGCCCTGCACCAATTTCTGGCATCAAGTAAGGGGTCAGCAGGTGCCAAGGGCAGTGATGGAAGTATTTCTTGTTTGGTTTGATCCGTGGAGCAGCTGCACACACGTGTCCTGGTAGCAAAGTCACCGACCCTCTCTTCTTCACTGGGTGTTGCTCACAGACAAGCAGACGTCAGCATCAAAAGCACCTCCTCACAGAGTGATTCTGTGCTGAGCTAACTCTGGGAACAGCTCAAGGCTATGAGACATCATCCTTGCCTTAACTCCAAGTTCCAGTGGAGCTGCAATGGCTGCTGATGAAATAACAAGTGAGAAATTCTTGTAATAGCCACACTTTGCATCTTGCCAACAGCGGGTGTGCAGAAATACTTGAAATGCGCACATGCTGGATTATTGATGCAAAGTGATAAATCAGAGAGGCAAAAGAGAAGTGAAATGAGAAAGTTCCAGGAAGCAGAAAAGGAATTAGCCGAAGGAGTAAATGGTCAGGAAAGACAGAGACAATCACATCTGCCAATAAACTGACTTACTGATAAACTTCCAGAAAGTACAAAAAAAGTAATCTGGGACACGGTTTGGTTCAGCAGAGGGTCCAGTGGAAAGAGCCTACATCCAGGGCTGTCTTGGCCTGCGCTCAGCCCGTGTCACCGGAGCTGGCTTCCAGCCCCTCCCTCTACTCTCTCCGATGCAGAATCATCTCTTCTTATGGTGACCATTCAAATGGCTTGTGGCTTTGCTTTCAGAGTAATTCTTTTAAAAATCATCCTTCTTCTTCCTCATTTATAAACTCTTCAAGCACAATCATCAATTTAGCGGCAGCTATTTCAAGTTTTATTGCATAGTCATAAAAATGGCCACGATACAGAGCACTAGGTAATTATATTTCATTGAAATTCATAGTACGCCTGCCACTTAGAAAGCTTCTTACGCCTCTAGCTAATTACATTATCTAATAAGGTCTGTGACTTTTTCAGAGGCTCCATGGCAGAGAAAGTCACTGCCATTTTTCTCATGGCTCTTGCTTTACCCAAGATGCAGATGTGACTCTATCATGTATATGGCACGTGCATAAGTGTATAAATACATACATGTATGTACATATGTTTGATTTTGTACAATGCATCATTTTCTCAGAGACAGTGCCAAACATTTCACTGTGGTTAGATTTATACTCCAGGAAGGAAACACTCCTTCCCTTCATCTCTATCCCACAGGAAATCAACAAGGAATTTAACTAATAGCAAATTGCAGGTTGGATTCCAAGTAGGCTAAGCCACTAAAAATTCTACCTACACTTTTGTGTTCTATAGGACTCACCCTGTACTGTCTAGCTCTCCTAGGCCAAAGAAAGAAAGAAGCAGAATATTTTGTAATATGCTGTGATTATAAAAATACAAAAAGTTTTTATGACTCTCACGCAATTTAAAAATTAATATTTACCCAGCAATGGTTGCACATACCAGAAGCCCCAACTGCTCAGGAGGCTGACGTAGGTGGAGCCCTGTAGTTCAAACCAACTTGTCAACGCAATGAGATCTTGTCTCAAAGGAAAAATGAAGGTAGATGCAGGCGTACACAGACATAGTCAAGCACCAATAATTCCAAAAATTTTAAAACTACAAAAAGTTATTTATTTTGGCAGTCCTTTTCCTTAGCAGGAATGCTGTATGATATATCATTATTTCTTATGAGTGTTACCCTTCAGTTTCTGAGATCTCTGGAGAATTTCATGGCACCTTCCCTAGCAGAGTAGACTGATCAGTGAGTGCCTCACACTGAGGCCCACAAAGCAGCAGTCCCCACGTTAAGCAGCAGACCCTTGAGACCAGCCACATGCGGTTTCTCGCTAAGGCTAAGTCACTTGCCAGGTAGCAGTGAAGGGAGTGGTGAAGCGTGGGTCCTCTCAGGGGACCCGAATGCTGCAGTCTAGATGCCCTGTGCTGGCTGTAGTTCTTTGTCCAGCGTGAATCGTCGTCTGGCCTGATTGCATCTGATTTCTAGACATGCTTTTCTTTGCACAGGTCACACCCAGAAAAAACTACGTTTTTCTCAAAGACTCATGCATCTGACCTACTTAGACCTGAATACACTTCTGCTTGCACCACGGCCCCAGTCATAGAGGCCGGCCCAGGAACCAGTGATGAAGCAAGGTGTTGGCTTTTAATCCCAGCTGCCCGTTAGAATCACTGGGGGCTGCTGAGACCCCCCAAGCCCAGCCAAAGTTGACACCCAAGCAACACAACCCCCTGTACCTACATAACCCAATTTTATATTTTTTAGTTACCTCTTCTTTTAGTCCTTAGACTACGCTTCATGTTGTCTTTCCATGGCTTGGTAAGTAGTTGGAAGTCGTCTTGTCTCTTGAGGTCCTACCTTCCTGTGTCAAGAAGTTAAGCATTTTAGCCAAGCCATACAGAAAGGGTGTGATTTACCATGGCTTGAAGTAAATTCAGTAAAGCTCCAAGTGTAAAGAGTTAAAAGCAAAATCATAAAATGAGGCCTACAAATTTAATCCGTCTGCTGACAAAGCCATCTAGGATCTTTGGTCATATTTGACCTTGCATTATAGAACACTTTGCACCCAAACTGTCACCCAAAGTGTAGTATTGGCATCACGTAGGGATAGGAGGTCCTTTAAAATGATTCATGAAAGAATACATGTTTTAAAATAGCTATTTATCTAAGTAAGCTGATAAACACATAATGGTCACAGTTTAGACATGCACACATTTTTTTACATGCACGCATTTAGAGAAAACTATGAATACACAGCGGTACACAGGTGATAGATATCCTATACGGAAGGGGATACACCTACGGCTTATTCACACTTCACTCCTAGCAGTCAGCTTGAGGTTCACTTGAAGCCATCAAGTTAGGGCAGTATTCTTCCTGCCTCCCAAACTGTACATCAGGCCCAAAAGAGTGAAGAAAGAAAAGGGAAAGGTGTGATTAGGTCTTTAACATCTAGAGGATCCCATGAAATGCCTTCCAGGGTGAAGAGCTTCGAGCGGGATCGGTACTGAGGAAGCGTGGGGTGCTCGGCCTCGTGCAGTGTCACGTTTATCAGGATGTGAAACTGCTGCGTCCACGGCGGGCTTCCCAAAGTGCGCTTCCCCAGGGAGCTGCAGGGAAGGGGACCTCGCCTGTCTTGGCTCCTGCTGGGTGTGCAGAGATTGTAGAAGGATGAGACAAAAGACAGCCTGCCACCCTTGCTGAGGTCTAGGGTGGCTGAGAATCACTGGAGCTGTGGTTGAACTCCTCTGTCTTCCTTGTGTGCCACCCTGCCCTGGCTTGTGTTAGAAATTCAGAAGTGGAGAACAAAGCAGACCAGTTTGTTTTGCCAGAGCAAGCGGGCTCTGGTGAGAACAGCCCTGACAGCTGTGCCTTGTGTCTTAGTGAACTAAGGGCTTTTACATGTTTCATTCAAGACTGTTTAGTCTGGAGGCTGGAGATTCATATATCAGTTTCTGGCTCTAGTGTCATTGGGGCAGTTCTGATTTCCCATAATTCTGTTGTCATCTGTATTTGCCTACAGTGAAAGAAACAGAATTTAGAGTGGAGTTACTGCATAGTCACTTAAAAGCTTGTCTTTCTTCATTTATTCTCTTTAATGGCATTGCCAGTGCTTCTCAAAAAACAAAGTCTTTGGCCTGCAGTCCTTAATAAATAACATCTGCCTGGGAGTCAGTTAACTGCGTTCCTGTTGGCTTTTGCAGAAGTGGCAGTGCATTGAGGACACATCTGGCAAACTGCGTATCCACAAATGCAAGGGACCCGGCGACCTGCTCACCGTCCGGCAGAGCACACGCAGCCTCTACTCTCGAGGTTTCCATGACAAGGACAAGGAGTGCACCTGCAGGGAGTCTGGCTACCGTGCCAGCCGGAGCCAGAGGAAGAGTCAAAGGCAGTTCCTGAGAAACCAGGGCACCCCAAGTAAGCCTGCCCTTCTTCTGGGATCGTCTCTGGGGCAGCTGAGGCCTGGGAGAGACAGAATGTCTCCTCATACATTTTAGATATTATCAGTGCAGTTTTCCAGCTAAAAGAAAACCGTCCTGTTTAAAGTAAGAAAGCTAAGATTGATTTGAGGTTTTGTTTTGTAATATTTTCACTTACGCGTAGAGTAAACATATATTTAGTAAAAGTACCAGATGCAAGACACATGCACATGGAAAAGAGCTATAAAGTAATTATTCAGTTAGTCCAAAGGATAAATGTACGGTTTAGGTCAGGTTTATTTTACTTTCATGCTAATATTCTGATTTTTCTGCTTTAGGTTTCTTTAAAAAAAAAAAATACAAGGTATCAAGTGTGTGTGTATTTATCTTAAGACAACACTTTATTTTTAAAGTTACATGATTTTAATCTCTGTGTTAGGACTCCATATAGTTTTAAATTTTTATCAGATGGTTAGATCTTGTTGACAGACAAGGTCAGACCAGTCAAATTCAGTGTGAAATGCACTGCCTAGCATTTTGTGCATAAAAATTACCAGGCAGCTACAAGAAACCTATGATTATACACACAGGAAACTCACAGGCTGTCAGCTTGCACTGAAGAATGAGAGACTGGTGCCATCTAGTGGTATAGTGTGGAAAGCAGCTCAATTCTGTGATGCTTTCTAAGCTACAAATAAGCAATATGCATTATATTCAAATTCTTATCCAACATTTGGAAATTATATCATCTTTAAAAATAGTGGACATCCTTTAAATAAGTGGGCTTTTTTTGGACAAGAAGGCTCTAGAGTAGTGGTTCCTTGTTAGTTCATCTAAAGTCATGAGTATATTTTTCTTACATATGCACATTTTTCTCAAAGTCAGTAACTTTCAACAAATTCATAAAAGAGTCCATAACCCAAAAGGCTAGAACTGTTGAATTAGAAAGTTTTCTTTCTTCTTGACAGTAAATTCCAGATTTAAGTCATTTACAGAATATCGTATTTAAAATCAACAAGGAACAAAATCCCCTGACACTCTCTTTCAACAAAAGCAGATTATCAAATTTCAGCCTAAAGGCAGAGGTGCCCTCTTCTCTTCTGGAAAATTAGACATCACTTCCCAAGTTCTGACCACAGAGCATGTGGATTTTTCAATGTTGAGTATAAACAAAAATCTAAGACAGCGTTTTCAATTGTGTTTTCTTGTTATTCTCGTTTTATTTTGTTTTGTTTTTATTTGTTTTTGCTTTATTATTTTTTTTTTCAGTACTAGGGATTGAACCCAAGGTCTTCAGACTGAGCTATTTTCCCAAGCCATTTTAAAAGTTTTTATTTTGAGACAAGGTCGTGTTGAGACACTAGGTTGTAATCTTTCTGCTTCTGCTCCCTGAAAGCTAGATTATAGTTGTGTGCCACAGTGTCCAGGTAAATCATTTTCTAAAAAAAAGTTTTCCAGTGTGTCCCATGCAGTCCTGAAGTACCTTAATTAGTATAGGTGTGTTCTTGAGTGTTGCTTAGCTTCAGCTGTGTATCTGCAAGCAGGCTTCCCTATACCTCAGGAGTGCTCCCCATGACTCTTGGGCACCCACTGTCACGGAGGCAGCTCCCTCATCTAAAAGCTGCAGGGCCCTACAGCTAGAGCATGCCATCTCCTAGACGGACCGTTCTAGTTCCCTGTCCTGTGTGCTCCTCTTCTCCTGAATGTAGCAGCCTGGAGCCGTAAGACCCAATGAACATGCCTCCACTGGGCCGAAGCAACACCCGGCAACAGGGCCAATGTGCGCACGTTAACATTCTTATCTAACTCCAGCGAGCACTGGACAATACCTCTCGGTTACTAGAAAACATGCTGCACATGGAGGATTTAGCTCAGCAGCGCAGCACCTGCCTGAGAAGTGTAAGGTCATGAGTTCAATCACCAGTACCAGGAAAAAAAAGAGAGAAGGAAAGGAAGGAAGGACAGAAGGAAGGAAGGAAGGGAGGGAGGGAGGGAGGGAGGAAAAGAAAGAAAGAAAGAAAGCACGCTGGCCTATGTCCAGCCTTACTCCCCATCAGCATGTATGAAAAGTCACTTGGCTGGCGCAAGCATTCCTGACATTTCATTTGTCTTGGAGTGACCTTCCCATACACGTAGGTGTATACATGTATGTGCCTAGAATTTCAGTTTTTTGAAAAAGCAGCCCAAAGCCTGGCAAGACTAGTCTGAAAGTTTCTAGTCCTGGCTTCCTTGACTATACAAAACATATGTCACACTCGAAACCTTAGTTTTTTCACTCATAAAAGAAGGACAATGACACTGAGGTCATGAGTTTGGTTTGACAGTCTGGGATTTTTATGTAAGGCTTTATCATCATATTTGTCTTTTAGGCTATTGGAGCAGAAACAAATAGAAGGGGTATATGGCATAGGCGAAGCTCAAAGGGTTAATGTTATTAATACCATAATTAGGAACAAAGTTTTATCCCAGTAAACTGCCCTAGGAGTTCATGTTGAGATGGAAATGTAGACGCTCACAGTCTGCCATCCGTGGAAGGGATGGTAAAACCACCCCATCTAACCCCAGCTGGAGGGTAAAGGACCTGGGGTGCAGAGGAGCGAGCCAGCACCACACTCAGTGCAGACGCACAGCTAGGAGACCCGTCCTGCCGTGCATTCCAGGGCGTTGTCCAGACTGTGATGTCCCACCGCAGTGCAGCCTGTACGGCCCGTCCTGTCCAAAGTCCTCACTGTGTGTGGCAGGTGATCGTCTTCCTCCCTCCTAAACTACATCGGGTCATCGAATTAACTCACCTCCCCTTCCTTCCAGAGTACAAGCCCAGGTTTGTGCACACTCGACAGACCCGCTCGTTGTCTGTTGAGTTTGAAGGCGAAATATATGACATAAATCTGGAAGAAGAAGAACTGCAGGTGTTGTCACCCAGAAGCATTGCTAAGCGCCATGACGAAGGCCGCCAGGGCTTGGGGAGTCGCCAGGCTGCCAGCAGTGGCCACGGCAATGAAATGCTGGCAGACAGCAGCAATGCTGTGGGCCCTCCCGCCACGGTCCGCGTGACACACAAGTAAGAAGGCCCAGGCCGTTTGTCGATTTTGACATCCAAGTGCCCCATCCCCTTCCGCATAGGATCACCTTTGTAGGCATCCAGGGTCAGATAGAAACACTTAGGGACCTTAGGAGCCCTCCATGCTGTCGAGTCACTGTGGCTTTGAGCACTGCGGTAACAGCCTCAGAAATGAAACACAGCACACATTAGGGCACTGGGCCCCAAAACTTCTAGAAGACTGGCATACAGTTGGGAATGGGTGTAAGATGCAGAACTACCTAACCCCTCCCAGACGCTGTCTTGGTTGCTTTGTCTCATTGCTAGGACAAAATACAAGACACCAAAAATTAAAAAGGAAAGATTTATTTAGCTCACAGTTTATGGAGGTTTTCAGTCCATAATCAGTTGGCTCTAAGGCAGGGTGACATGACAGAAGGGCAATACTTCAAGGGACAGAAGACAGAAAAGCAACAAGAGCAAAAGGCAGAGAAACACCCCTCTTTTCTCCCTCATAGTGTAAGCAGGCTACCACCCCCACCCCAACCATCCCTCCCGCACCTCCTCCCCAGCCCCCCAGCTTGCCCCAGGGAGGGTATAGCAATCACAGAATGTTGTGCCCTCCTCTTGCACAGGCTCAGAATGTTTACAAAGTAAGGATCCTGGCTCCCTGCTGAGTCCCTTAGTTAAACTTCTAAACCTCTCAAGACAGAAGTAGCAACTTCCCACTCTGCCTTTCTTCAAACAAACCATTTGCAGTATGGCTATGAAAATGTCTCCTTTTTTCTCCTGTGTATATTTGCTCAGGCTTTTGAAACTTGAGTTTAAGGTTGGCACCTGTCCCTTGGGGGCATGAATATTGGAGGCTTCCTCACAGGACGATGGCCTTAGACAACAGGCCAGCTGGAAGCCAGGACACATTCAGGTTTACTGTTATCTGGGGATTAGTGCCAAACTAATCTGATGCTGCTGGCATCTACAGAAAGATTTTTCAGGGAGTAAATTATCTTTGCTATATCTAGTGTTTTCTAATACTGGAATCTTTCTCTCTCACCTCTCCCCTCTCCTCTCCTCTCCTCTCCTCTCCTCTCCTCTCCTCTCCTCTCCTCTCCACTCCTCTTTCTTTCTCTCTCTCTCTCCCTGATTTGTTTTTGCAGGTGTTTTATTCTTCCAAATGATACCATCCATTGTGAGAGGGAACTGTATCAATCAGCCAGAGCCTGGAAGGACCACAAAGCTTACATTGATAAGGAGGTCAGTGTGGGGCTGGGTGCAGCCCAGTGATAAGTGCTGGCCTAGGATAAGTGCTGGCCTAGGGTGTGAGGCCCAGGTTTGAGCCCCACCTCCACAAACACACACAAAACAGAAGAGGTCAGAGTGGCTCTGAGGGTGTAAGGTGAGCATTTGGCCTGCAGTGATGGAACGCTGTGTGTACACACAACTGTGCATGAATTATGTGAAGATGGGAAACAAGGCACTTAGCCTTTCCCAGAAAGTTAACGATAGTGCTGCTGAAAACTTTTACAGTGTGGGGAGGAAAAGGGATGAACTCAACGATCTTCTGCAGTCTCTTCAAACAGTGATTCAGTTATAAAGGTGGCACCTGTTAATGTCTACCTGTTACACATTCATTGGAATGTCAAGATAGATGTATTTGGGGCCCAGTTTGTTCCAAATCATCATCTTGAACAGTTCTAGATAAGGAACAAGTGGGTGTGGTGGCGCACACCTGTAATCCCACCACTCAAGAGGCTGAGGCAGGAGGACCAGCGCCAATTTGAAGCCAGCCTGGGCTACAAAGTGAGTTCAAGGCCAGCCTGAACTGTGTAGTGAAACACTGCCCCTCCTCCAAAAACAAACAAATAAACAAATGAACAAAAAAAAACCCAAAGAAAACAAGGGTAAAATTAAGGTTCTTTGTAGTTAAAATGTAATTAAAATATATGTTTCCAGATCGAAGCACTGCAAGATAAGATTAAGAATCTAAGGGAAGTGAGGGGACACCTGAAGAGAAGAAAGCCTGAGGAATGCAGCTGCGGTAAGCAGAGGTGAGCTCCGCCCACCCCAGGGCCCCTCCTCAAGCTCCCCACAGAGCGCCCTGAGTGCAGTATCACACTGTGTGATGCCCTCCGCTGAGTCAAGTTAGATGTGCCCTATGCTCACGCAAAAGGCTAAAAGTAAAAAAGCCCCTGAAATAGAACAACGGAGTAACTGCCTGCCTTCTGGGCTGCTTTGTTTTTATAAACTGAACTGTTTAATCAAATGCACAGTGATGGAGACTCACTCTGTGATCTTCTGGCCTGCAGCATCTACAATAAAGAAAGAGGTGTGAGAAGGCAAGAGAAGTTGAAGACCCATCTTCACCCATTCAAGTACGTAATTCTTGGCTTTCCACGTTTCCTGGAGTCAGGCTCTGTCCATTGTCATCTGGAAGGTCTGGACAGGTCGGAAGGGGCTCTTGTGCTCCTGGAGTGCAACTCTGGAAGCAGTAGGTCTAGCCAGGAGAGCTCAGGACGCAGAGAGGCGGTTTATCAATCTCTGAGATGCGTGCGGAACCCTTCAAGAGGGCGCCTTGCAGGTTCCCAGCCTGCTGAGCTCTCTGCCTGGAGCAGGGGATGCGCCCAGGGTTCGCCTCCCTGCCCCGCACCTTGTGGAGTGGTTGAGTTACACTCCTGCTTAGGCTGGTGTGTCCTGCGAAGTGGCCTGCACTGGCATACAATTTTCAAGTGAAAAGAAACACACAGATACTTAAAATAATAAAACTTTGCGTGTGAAGGAGATTAAGTATTTGAACCTCAGCAGTTTAAACCTTGTAGGAAAAAACAAGGATCATAGAAAAAAAAATTTTTAAAAACTGGTTTTCCAAATTTAGTTTGTAAACTTTGTTAATGAATTTTAAAAATCTTGTCCAAGGTATCTGTTCACTAACCACCATCACTGATAGGTACTAAGCTACCAGAAAATTAAACCATTTGTCCAAAGTGCGCCTATGAGGACCCTCCAATTCCTGCTGACATTTGTCTTCAGCAGTGCTTAATATAAATAAGGAAAAGCTGTTGCTCCTGTGAAAGTTTAACGAGGTTTTAAGAGAGCTATCAGGACCTCGTAAAAAAGTACAGGTCATCTATTACAGCGGCTGTTCCTGTGTATCTAAATATTTGTGCAAGGGTCATTAGCATAGATAGCCCTTCTCCCCGCAAGGAAGGCACCTCCTCACCATGCCCCCAAAACCCTTCCGTTGGCATAGGGAGGCGGCCCAGGAAGTCGATAGCAAGCTGCAGCTCTTCAAGGAGAACCGGCGGAGGAAGAAGGAGAGGAAGGAAAAGAAACGCCAGCGAAAGGGGGAGGAGTGCAGCCTGCCGGGCCTCACCTGCTTCACCCACGACAACAACCACTGGCAGACGGCGCCCTTCTGGAACTGTGAGTCGCTGCTTCTGGCCTGCGCGCTGCAGCTGTGCAGAGAGCTCGCGGGCGGTTACCCAGCGCGTATATGTACAATTTATCTGTGCACACCCCTTGCTCACTGTCGTTCCCTTCGGTGCTAACACTGTGTTTCTGGATTCACAGGGCCGCTTTTGGCTTTACTCTAAATTGTGGAGGATATGGAAAGACTGCGCACTTTATAGTCAGCGCTTGTGTTTCCGTTGGTGGTCTGGCGCTGCATTCCCCACACATGTATCTCGATGGTGCCTGGACTCTTGTGGTCAGTCATCGCCAGCCCATAGCTGTGCCCTCTGTCTTCCAGTTAACAAGGTCACTGGAGACCGCATGGCCAGTGTTTCTCCAACTGGAATACACAGAGCATTCTTGGCAGGGATTAAGCATCTACCTAGAAAGCATCCTTTCCATTTTGATGGAAATTGACTTATGCCCACATTTGCATGTATATTCACCAGCACATCAAAGCCAAGTGCCTCTTAAAGTCACAGCATCTAATAAATTAGCTAATAATTTAGCTAATTAATAATTATTATTAATAAATTGGCTAATAAATTAATGTCTGCTGTGGCCCCTGCAGTGGGGATGGAGGTCTTGGGTCAGGTTGCTGGAGGTCTGCACTGTGCCTGGCTCTGGGCTGAGTAGTGGAGATACGACAGTAAGCAAGTGACCTTGATCCCAGCCACCCTCCTACATTCTTGTGGGAAGAGTTTTTTTTTAAAAGGTGAAGGAAGTAAATAAAATAATTACAAGCTATAGTGAGGGAGCAAAGTTTTTAAAGGGATCCTTTTTGACAGAGTGGGGACATTGGGTGTTGATCAGCTTTCTGTTACTATAACAAAATAAGATAATCAACTAAAAAAGAGAAAAGGTTGTTTGTGTCTCACAATTTTGGAGGTTTCAGTGTAGCCACAGCCAGCTGGCCTCACTGTTTCTGGTCCTGGAGTGAGGTTGCACATCATGCCAGCATGATAGAGGAGGCTGCTCACATTAGAGAGCAGGGCAGCAAAGGGAGGAAGTGTGGACCCAAACATCTCCTTCCCACAAAGTCCACCTCCTTGGAGCACCGCCCTGAGGACCGAGCCTTTAACAACTGGTCCTTCAGATGTCCCAGATTCCTCAGGTCAGGCTCTGCAGAGGGGAAATCTAAAATGCAACCTGAAGGACGTGCCAGAGGAGCTCCCTGTACTCTGTCTGTCTCCCCCATCTGGGCTCAGGCCATGCTGCTGACAGCACCACTATTTCGTACCTCAGCCACTGCCTGTGTGTTCCCAGACTTCCCTTTTGTTTTCACCCATCCATTCTGCAGAGCTAACGTGACCTCTTAATGACCTCCTGTCTCTCCCTGAAGAGCAAAGTCCTTAATCTATCCAAGAAAGCCCTGAGTGCCACAGTCCATTGCCACTTGGGAGCAATGGCTGACTCTTCCTCTCACCTGCTTCCAGTGCTTCTGTTGTTCCTCAGGAATTCTAAGCCCCTCTTACCACAGGGCCTTTGCATATGTGGCTTCCCCTTCCTCGAATTCTCTCATCTCTGTGCCCACCCACAGCCTGGTCTGTCAAACATCTGTGGACCCTTCAGAGCTTATTTAATCTCTCTCACGGACACCTTCTCTGTGCCTCAGACCAAATCAGGTGCCTACTACCCAGTCAGCCCTCCAAATCCCTGGCTTCTGCATCCATGCGCTCAGCTAAACTCAGATGGAAAATACTCAGAAGTAATTTTATCTGCACAGATAAATTGTACATATACAGATATTTTCTCATCATATTTCCTAAACCAAATCATGTAACAATTGTTTACACAGCATTTACCTTGAATCAGGTTTAAAAATACCCTGATTTAAGAGTATATAGGAGGCTGCATGTGGGTTATATGCAAATATTGGGTCATTTTGTACAAGGGGCATGAGCATCGTGTGTGATAAGCTCAGGGTACTGGACCCAGTCTCCTGCAGATAGCCAGTGATGCTATGGTTTCACTCTGTGCTTATTAAGTGTGCTTTTTAAAAAATCCTAGTATCACACAATGCAGTATAAATATTAGCAATATACTTAGAGCACTTCTAGTGAAAAATCATATAATAAAAAATTCTCAAGCATACATGTTTTAAACTTCTCCTTTCTTTTGTAAAATGTGTTTTGGGTGAAAGGAGGATAAACAGGGCAGAGCGCAGTGCATTTCACACCAGTGAGCGAGTCTGTGGCTGACACCTGTCATTACCCATTGGCCAAGCCCGAAGAAAACACAGCAGGGAGAGGAAAGGTGTCTGTGCAGGTTCACCGCTTATAGCAATGGTCCGTTTGTTACAATGTGGGGTGTCGCACATCTGTAGGGACAGGGGACAAATGGGAACACTGTGTTTCCTTCTTAATTTTATGTGAACCTAGAACTACTTCCTAGAACAATCTGTTGAAATAATTTTTGGAAAAAAAATTTTCTCATTCATTGTTTAAAACACTCCTTATAAACAATCATTATCTCTACCTGTTTATCCTCATTATTAAATGGGTAGACTAGGTGCCTAATACTGCGCACAGCTAGTGGAGTCTGCTGGCTAAGGGTTAACCTTCTATCCAGAGTCCCAGGCTGCCAGTGGCCAACTGCTTGACCTTGGGCAAATGAGTCTCTGGGCCTCAATTTTCCAGTCTGAAAAGTGGGGATGGTGATAACAATCTGTCTCAGAAGGTTATTTGAAGATTAAATGAGCTATCTAGGCAAACCGTATACAAGAATACTCTTTAAGCATGCTTATACGAATTGCTTTTTAAAAATATTTTAGTACATTTCTAAAATTCAGTTATTACAGGAAAGATCAGCAAATTTGGGACCTTTGCCCTTTCACAAATACAAGAGTGGGTGATTTGTTTTTAAATTTGACATCTATCTTAAAAACTCTGTACAAGTTAGCTAGAGAACATCTGCATAATGTAAAAGATGTTCATAGTCAAAACCCCAGACACTCCAAGCTGGGTTCCAGCTGAAACTTCATCTTGCTCTTCAGCCTTTCTGAACTCACCATCTGGTTTTCCATTTTCACCTACTGAGAGAAGGGAAAATACAGTTATCGTTAACATCTACCAGTAATATTTAGAAGGAATAATACTTGAAGCTTAACGTGCAAATGTAAGGCAGTGCTGAGACAGCTGCCTGCCCAGAGTTTCTCATTCTCTTTGTGTTGTTTTCTTTCTCATCCAACAGTGGGCTCATTCTGCGCTTGTACAAGCTCTAACAATAACACCTACTGGTGTTTGCGTACAGTTAATGAGACGCATAATTTTCTTTTCTGCGAGTTCGCGACTGGCTTTTTGGAGTATTTTGATATGAATACAGATCCTTATCAGGTAAGGCAATACAGTTTCATTTTCTGAAGTTTGTTGGAAATGGCGTCAGCAGAATGTGAGCTAAAGTCTGCTCCCTGCCTCTTCACTCACAGCTCACAAACACCGTGCACATGGTAGAACGGGGCGTTCTGAACCAGCTGCACATCCAGCTGATGGAGCTCAGAAGCTGCCAGGGCTACAAACAGTGCAACCCAAGACCTAAGGGCCTTGACGCTGGTAAGGAAAGGAGTTTTTTCTATGTTACCTGAAAAATTCTTTAGAAGGACCATTTTGCCTTTGAAATGTTTATATGCAGAAAAACATAGAGTTTGGGATCCTTCCATGGGAAATTTTCCCAACTTTACCAACTTCCAAACATAATTTGATCTCTAAGTTTAGTCCTGGGTGCACTAATGAAAAATTTAGTCCATCAGAAGATCTGGCAAGCATTTCCTTCCAGCCTCTCTCACAGGTCAATTATTATTGGTCAACTATTATTAGTAAACCTAGTTCCCGTTTGAAACATCTCCAGGACGATGAGATGAAAGATTCGGGAATTTCCTGGTTATTGCTGTCAATTGTCATAAGATCTACTTTCAGTAAACCGGAAGATCCTCTTTCATTGAGGGAACTTGGATGGAAACACGAAGTGTCCTATTTCTGCTTGTCACGGTTTGGACCACCCCCAGTTGAATCCCTGCCCACAGCACGGTGAATTTGGTTTCTTTTGCAGTCATTCCCATATGAAAATAGAGACGTAGGAGCAGTTCATTAACTTGAGACCTGAAAGTCTCAGAGAATCTGTGTGGAATCGACCAGATATTCCTTTCCTGTTCTGCTGATTTGTCCTTTGACGCATGAAGACGGGGCTCTTTCCAGGACTGGACCATCTTCTTCCTGGTTGATGAGAATGCTCATTTACTCTCATCATTTCTGCGGAAGTGTACATAGCAGCTGTCCCGTAGCAGGAAGACCTGAGGTTAGCAAGGGAACCATCTGGCACTGCAAGTCAACCCTCAAAGGGTGAAGCCTAGACCCGGGGCTCTGGGAGCCCTTTAATGCAACTGAGTTTAACCTGCATCTGTGGGCCCCATGTAGAGCCAGCATCCCCTGCAATAAAGTGGGCAGCTCTTTGGGGCATGTCACTTAAAGAGAGAAAGGATCAAGGTCCTTGCCAGTCCTTTCCACCACAGTAGGATCCTGAAGACTTCCACATGACAGGCATCCTATGAGAAAATAAAAATCCTGTGAGAGAGGTCACATTTCAGTTCTCCGTCAGCACTTTTCAGTTCGTACTGGGTAGAGGTTAGTTTCCAGCCACGACGTCCAGACTTGGCAGAAAGATTCTGAATCATTGACTCTACTCACGTCAAATCTTTTCAAATATCCGCCTGATCTGTTGACCTTTTCCTGAAATCTTACAAAAGGGAAAGAGAAAGAAAGGAAGGAGCATTGCACAAAGGCCTGGAAACAAAGCCAAATTTTGGAAGTCCTAGAAATGCTGCGTCGCAGGGCTGGGGATTTAGCTCAGTGGCATAAGCACCTGCCTTGCAAGCATGTGGTCGTGAGTTCAATCCCTGGTACCAATAAAAAAGAAAAAAAGAGAAAAAGAAATGCCACATCCTGATATCTCTTCCCAGAATGCAGTGCTCCTCCCGCGCTGGAGGTGAACTGCTCCATTTCTTGAAATCTGATGGAGTCTTTAGCGGTGAAATGACAGCCCCACTGCAGCGTGTTAGTCTGCTAGTCATCAAGTTATCCTCTCCACCTCCCTGAGTATTCCTAAGGGAAATTATTATGGGCGCACTTTTCAAAAGTTTTGTCTAAAAATATCCAAAAATCAACTTTTACTGAGAATTACATGGCCTACTGGAAGTACTCTTTTCACTGTTTTTCAATGAACTCTCCTCCTTTCTTTCCCCACCCACTGTTCCATATGAACACGTACTTTTTAATCTTAAGCCTTTTTATTTATAATGGTCAGTCCTCATTCAACCCTCTCCCATGCAAAACCTCTGTTGAACTTGAGCCCTGCCTGTATTTAACACAGTGTGTTTCTTTCTAGAGTTTCAATGTTGTGTATGAAAAACTGCACAATCAATGGTTCTCTGAGTTCTAAAGCTAACATAATTTACTCTTGTGCTTTCCTCTATCAGGAAGTAAAGATGGAAGAAGCTATGACCTACACAGGTATGCACACTTTTTTGTTCTCAGCAGTGCCTTTCCCAATGATTGCATGAGCCTGTTCCAGCTAATTTCCGTTTCTTACTACATTGCCCAGAGCATAGTCTGTGCGTGTTTGTTCTAACAGCATTCTCCTTTATGTTTGGTCACTGGGTACAGATCTGTCATTTTGCTTTTAAATCAGTTCACTGTCTCCGCAGGCCTTTCCCACCCCCACACATGGCTGTGTGTTGGATGATGGACTTAAGCATGGAATGATCGAAAGAGGGAAACACAGAATGGCCTTCAGGAGCCCTGGGAGGGGGTGGGGGCTTGACTGCTTTCTTTGTGATGCTGACGCATAGATTTGTTGGGGAAGCTGCTGGAAATGAGTTAGATTTTTATTAGATATAACATCACCAAAAGAACTAGTGAGGATTTGGAAGAAACAAAAGGAATTTCCTTGTTAATGGTCATTAGTCAATTCTGGTGTTAAAAACAGTGGTCATAAAGAGCGTCCAGGAGGCTCTACGCATGAGAGAAGGTGCTGGGCTTAGGAACAAGGTCAGGGATCGAGGCTCACAGAAAGGTGTCAGCACAGCCCCAAGACGGCAGCACCCACAGAAACGTCATGACAGCCCTCATCCTCCTTCAGCCACACCTGTCCTTCCTGGGGCGGGGTGGACTGGTGGCTTGTCCCATGGTTCCTCAGAAAGGCCAGCCATTGCTGATTCTCTGCTCCAACAGAGATATTTAGAGGTTTCCCGGACACTGACACGAGGCCCATGGGGACTGTCATCACTCCTCCCGTGGAGGGCACTGAGGCTCAGACAAGTCTGCAATCTGGTTAATGAATCCACTTGGGAGAGAAAAGTCCATCGAAGAAACATCGGCATAATCAATGCCATCCATACTGATATCTTTGCAGAGAAGCGAAAGAACACCTCTGTGTGGGGTGCCCTGTTCACCCCACCGGCTCCCCCTCCAGCCTCCTGAGCCTCTCAGACGGCTCCTCAGAGGCTTCTGTCGTTCCCACAAGACGCTCAGCGGCACTAGGAAAGGTGGTGGGGAGAGGGGAACAAAACAAAGGAAGCTGGACTTGTGAAGGTATCTTAGAGCCATTGAGATATCTCTTCTCTCTCCTCTTTCCTCCTTCCTCCACAGCACCCCCATGGTAGGTACTCAGCACAAGTACCTAAGACCCCAAAGAGCTGCGCAGGCTGGTCTCCCTGGCTGTGGCTGATAAGGCAGCACCCGTCACCAGGGCCATTTTGCCAGCTTCCTGTGAGTCACAGGAAGCCATTTCTGAACTGCGACATTACAAACGGGCTTGTCGTTCAGTACTGACTTGGCACTAACTTTGTGATGAACTCCACTTTACGGTTTAGGGATTTTCATTTTCCAACGTCCTCTCATCTCTGTCATGAGGGAGGTCAAGGCTGGGCACCAGCTGGTTGAGACCTACACCTGGGCAGAGTTTGTCAGTGACTCCCACGGCATCCCTGGGCAACTCTGAAATGAAGGATGTGGACGCTCCCCTTTCCTGACCCCCACTACCACCCCGCAGTGGGCCACATACAAATTGTTCCCAAGGTCACCTGTGGGAAGCATAGGTGCTGGGGCGGCGTGACATTACCTGCTGCTTTTCTTCCTCCTTCCTCCTCTTCCTCCTCCTCTTCTCTTCCTCTCCCTCCTTCCTTTCTCCCTTTCCCCTTGATTTTTCCTCTTTCTTCTTCTTTACTCCCTTACCAAAGGGCAATTACAGATGCTTTATAACTCAAATGACTGACATTTTCAGACTCCATCATTTCATAATCTATAAGCCGTCTCACACTGGATGTCCATGCTGCAGGCTGGGCGTCTTGACCTGGGCTCACCAGGAGGACATCTGCCTGGTCACACTGGGGAATGACTCCTTGGACCCCACAGCACTATGGGCCGGGGCCTTTCCTACCATTTCTTGTCAGGTTGAATGGGACCAACTGCAGAACAAAGCCCTATATGCCAAAATGTGCCGGTGACCTGCCACGGGGTGTTGCCCATACCCCACTCCCCAAAGGTGGCCTGGCTTCTATGCATGCTTAAGAGTTGGCCAGTTTTTGAAAACTAATTAAAATATATTTGTAATTGTGAAATTTGATGACAGAAGACCTTGAGAGAAATGATAACAAGTAGAGTTGAACTTAGAAAATTCAACAGGGTAGTTTATTTGGGGTTTTTATTGGGGGATGCACTGACCAGAGTCTTGTGATGTAGTTCAGCCTTGAACTCACTATGTAGCCCAAGCTCATCTCAAACTCATTATGCTCCTGCCTCAGCCTCCTGAGTGCTGGGATCACATGCATGTACCACCACAGTAGGCAAGAATCCTAACAGGGTAGTGTTAAGAATATCTTGTGTACAAAATGGAGCAAATAAGGGTTTTTTAGTTATCTTTTTGTGGATTTTCAAAAATTAATCTTCAGACTTAGAGGATCTTTGAAAAGGCAGACCCTGTTTCCTGCCCACTTCTCCACCCCACTGTGTTAGCTGTCTGTGCTCAAAGAAAGAGAAGCCTGAAGCCTTCTCTTAATCAGGCTTTTCCAGTTGGGACCAGCTCAGTGCAAGGCCCTGCTCAAGAAGAGGGACCCATGACTTAAGAAGTCATTTTCACCTTGGGGTAGAGCAGTGACATCTGTACTGAAAACACAGTCACCAGGTTGACGGGCTGTGTGCTTTTCCCACTGAATATGACAGCCATGCCTTCTGCTGCTGGCTTTTGAAGTTCCAGAAGCGCTGCTGGCAGCCCGGGCTGTGGGCAGTGGCTGCTAAAGGGCGATCGATGGTCAGTTGCTCAGGAAGATCTGCTTCCTGATCCTGGCCACAGCTTTCATCCACCCTCAGTAGCCTGGTGCTGTTCACCTGGCTTTGCTTCTTTTCATTTGTTCCCTCGCTGGATCAGCAGTTCCTGTGAGTGACCCAGGGCGCTGTGGCTACCAGCATGGATGCAGAACCAGCCTGCCTGGGTTGAAAGCCAGACTGGCTACTGAGCATGCTCAGAACGCGCCGCCTGGGGGACGTGTGGGGATTGCTAGCATCAGAGAACTGAGTGAGCTTGAGGCCTCACTGTGTTCTTGAATTTCTCTTGGTGATTTCACAGCCTGTGTCCAGAGTTAGGTGAGATTTACTTGAAATTTGAAATGAGTAATTCCAAGAAATTTATACTATTTGTTTCATCCCCTCACCCCACCCCGTATATCTGCTCACTTTTCCTTTTTTAAAAATCAGTTTGCGGTAATTTACAGCATTGTATCCCTTAATATAGAAGCTTGTATATCCTAAGAACATTTTCTTGCATAACTTTTGTACATATACCCAAATCAGGCATTCAACATTGGCGCAATGTAATTACCTAATACGTATTTCATATTGAGATTCCACCAATTATCCCATTAATGTCATATTTGTAGTTTTTAAAAATTATTTTCTGCTCTGGGATCTAATTCAGATTTACACATTTTTTAACTTCCTTTCAAACTTGTCTCTCCTGGAACTGTTCCTTAACTTTTTGTTGTGGATCTTAACATTTTGAGATCATGGGCCAGTTATCTTGTAAAACGTCCCTCAGTTTGGGGTTTCTCTGATGTTCCTACCTGAAGGGGCTGCAGTGTTTTCTTTTTGGCAGGAATACCACGACAGTAGCCTTGCACATTCAGGACAGATCATTCAGAGCCGTCTGCTTTGTCTGATGGCATGGTCCTTGATTACTTGAGCGAAGTGTTGCTTCTCACATTAACCCAGCACAGATTACTATTTCTCATTTTTTGATTAGGAAGTCATTTATAATTCTTGCCTGAATCATTCACTGCTACCGTGAAAGCTGGGCGGGGGGTGGTTTTTCTGACTGTGGTTTCTGCTTACATGTCTTAGGTCATATTCTACCTTAAGGAAATGGTTCCCTTGCAATTTGTTATTTCTATCAGTGTGGAGGCACAGACCCACCCTCATTTTATTCCATGGATGTTCTTTTGCTATCACTGTGTATTACAATGATGCTCAGGTTTGGTCACCGGTGTCCCTTTAAGAGGCCCTGTGTCGGTGTGGAGTGTGATAGTGTTCTTGAGCACTTTGCTGCTTTCTGGTCTCCCAAGGTGTCCTGGGTTCATCTTGCTTCTGAAATCAGCCATTTCGCCAAAGGGCACCGCTTTCTTGTAGAGGGAGTGGCGTTTGAACTCCAAGGTTTGGGATTTCTCTGATGTTCCTACTTGACGGGGCTGCGGTGGTTTGAAGTATAGAGAGATGTCTTTGTGGCCCTTCCGGTGCACACAGCTAGAATACATACATTTACCAACATCCATTCCTTACCTGCAGGTGTGTAGAGAGATACAGCTACTGAGCGAACCAGTCTTCCCTGCATAATGTTACTCCCAACCTGATCTTCATGACAATGCTCTTAGGATTTCCACATTGAGAGGCAGGCTTTAGGACTAACTTATATGCACTTCTATCATCTTAAAGAAATAGCGTCAATTGGTTTGGTGTCTATCATTAATCAGTATTGAATTTGTCAAAGCTTTTTTAGATATTTCTAAAGATACTCATTTTTTTCTTTTTAGATTTATAAATATGGTACATTTTATTAATAGATTTTTGAAAAATGAATCCATTTTTCATTCCTAGAATGAATTTCTCTAGTTCACCATGTATTTTTGTTTGTTTGTTTTTTGTTTTGTCTTTTTGTACCAGGAATCAAACTCAGGACCTTGCACTTGCCAGGCAGGTGCTCGTGCTGCTGAACTAAATCCCTAGTCCTGTCATATATTATTTTCTTAACACTGAAGTTTCTGTGTCATATTTATGAGCCCTGTCAGACTCTGACTTTTTGTTTGCCCTAGCACTATCTGTTAGGTGTTGTATTACTTTCTTCTTGCTGCTGTGACAAACCACCACTGTGCCTCAAAGCAGCACACATTTATTCCCATATTTCTAGAGGTCAGAGGTCTGCAGTGGTCTCACTGGGCTCAGATCGAGGTGTCAGCAGCTCTGTGTCAATATCACGGGCTCCAGGGAAGAGTCTGTTTCACTGCTTCCTCCGGTAGCTTAGTGGCTTCCTGTGTTCCTTTTCATGGTCCCTTACTCTGATGTTCAAAGCCAGCAGCATGGCTAAACTTATTTATCTTTCTCTGTCTCCCACCCAGTCCTTCTCCTATGTTTTCTGGGGTCACATCTCCTCCTCTGAACCCCCCGCATCTCCTTCCCTTTATAAAGACCTGTGTGATTATCTAGATACTCCCTGCTAATACCCCCATTTTAAGATCCATAAATTTCCAGGTATGGTAGTATATTGGGAGGCTGATGCAGGAGAATCTCAGGTTTTGGCCAGCCTGAGTTACAAAGCAAGTCTCTCACTCAAAAACAAAACAAAAAAAAAAAAAAACATAACTTTGTCACACATACAAAATGTAATGTAGTATCATGGCTTCTGGGATTTGACAAGCGTGTCTCCGAGGGTAAGGGGGCCCATAATTCTGCCTCCTATCTATCAGTGCTATGCTTGCTTCAGAAAAGTTTAGAAGTTTTGATTTTCTAAGAAAACTATTTTCTAGAATAGTTTTATAACATCAGGATTCTGGAGGTTTCTTTGTAGTTTTTAAGTAAACTACAACCATCTGTGCCATGGAAATTATTCTATTTAAGCTTTCTGTCTTCACCGGGTCTTCTGTCTTCACCTGAGCAGTTCCATCTCTGGTCCTGGGACCATGATATCAATAGGAAAAGACGAAGTTGAGGTGAGATAAAGACCCAGCTCCATCAGCAGCCTCCCTGCCAGGTGCTGCCCACACCGCGGAACTAAGGTGCAGGGCAGCCTCGCTCCACCCTCACACGAGAGGGAAGTGGGCCGTTTCCTCCCCGTGGTAGGCAGCAAAGTCCAGTTCTCCACTGAAGGACGATGTGCAGCCTGATATGGCTACTGAATATGAAATCTCTCTGCCCACTGTTGGACACAGAATGTGTGCTTTCATCTGAAGAGATGGGACTCAGTAGTCAGGTTGTCTGTCTCCTACTGGGATCCCGCAACAGTATGTTGAATATTTGCATCCACCGCTGGGTGGGTGAAGTGCAGTGCAGAGGTCTGTCCCTGCGCTGCCCGTTAGAGCCCCTTGGTCCAGCGTAAGCCCCCGGCCAGCCAGGAGCAAGCCTGCGCCTGGGGAAATCGCCCCCAGGACCGGCTGACTGCAGTCTTTGCGTCCTGTGGCACTCTGCGCCTGGGAGGGTGCAGAGCAGTGGGTGTCACTTGGCCAGTGCTGCTCTGCCGCAGCCGCTCCCGTCCACTCATTGCACAGATGTTCATAGCCACCGTGAGGGAGCACAGCAAGGCCGCTTGTGGTTCCTCCCGTTAGTCCCTTGGCTGTGTCTTGGAATGGCTGTCGCTTGGGCTTCTCGGTTACTCTTTTCATATTCTACCCTCTGTGCTTCACAAGGATGCTTGCTTTTCTTCTTTTCCTGTGGGGTTTGCTCAGGATTTTATTTGGGGCCTGTGGGCTGCCTTGGTGCTTAAACCTTTTTAATGGCCTCGTGTCTGTTTTCTCATTTAACTCTATTTTCTTACTGACCAGTTTTAATGGCAGCGTTTGAGTGCCAGTGCCTACCTGAACCACACCCGATGGGTCATTCTCTTCCACCTATTCTACTCGTTCCATTTCAGTTGCATTGTTTCTTCCCTGTCCCACGTAATGCACGTGTATTTTTTTCACTCTTCACCTACATTTTACGTCTGTGTTGAAAGCTCACCACCAGTCCTTTGGCTGACATTCCCCCAGTGATTTCTAGATAGCGCAAAACTCAGCCTCCAGAGAACTGCTGGAGAAGCACTAAGGCACAGTATCTTCCGCGTCCCTGCACGTTTATCCCTGTTTGCTGTAGCTTTGCTATTCCACAGGGAGCGTGGCTGGACAGGAGAGTCTTGGGAGACACAGTAACCTTTTCCTTTATTGGCAGTGCACGTCGGTGTGTTCACCTTGAGGAATGGGTGCATCTACACAGCTCACCTCAATCATTTTTGCTCCCTTCTCTCCTCCCCCACTCTCTTCACCCCCAGTTGGCCTTCCCTTTCCAGAGCCTGCCACCCTGTTTCCCACCATCTCTTTCTTCTGTTGGTCTTTCAGTTACTTATAGTTTGGGTTTCTCATAGAAGAGAAACCATGGGACATATAACCTTCTGTGTCTCTTAATTTTACCTTTACTTTCTGACCTAACACAGTTCTCCTGTCCTGATGTTTGATGAATTATATTTACTTCTCTTAGCCCTGAAGTGCTGTGGTTTTCTCTACTTGATGGTTTATTTTGGCAGGAAATTTTTTTCTATTTTCTCATCAGTATTTTTTTGTAGATTGAGGCTGCTTTCATTTCATGGATTGGAGTACTTAAAAGATCTGTAGGAAAGAGGGCTCTTTTCTATAACACAGCATTATTTCTCTTTGCTTTTTAATTATTATTTGGGGGTGAAAGTGGTGAAGTTGTGAGTCCTCCCATTTCTGTTTTTGTTTTTGTTTTTTTTTTGTTTGTTTGGTTTTGTTTTGTTTTTTGTCTTTTTCCTTTTTATCGGTACCGGGATCGAACCCACGACTGCCTGCTTACAAGGCAGGCACTTATGCCGCTGAGCTAAATCCCCAGCCCCTGAGTCCTCCCATTTCTGTCCCCTCCTGCCTCCCAGGGCCTGGGTCCAGTGTGACATATGCTCTGAAGGGACTTGCTGTTCCCTTTGCTGCTCTCTGCAGGTGATCTGAAAGTTGTAGAATTTTCCCTTCTAATTACACAGAAGGTGCGGGTCTTGCACAGTTTTACTAGTTATCTTTGCAGCTCTGTATTGCTTTGTGTGGAGTTCATCACACTAATCCAATTCACGTCTTTCTAAAAGGTTCTTGGGCACACAAGAAAAAGCGTTGTTTCCCTCAGTACTGTATCATCCTGGTGATGGGTGTGGGTCAGAGGGAGACAAAGCTGTGTGTTTTTTGCACATGTGAAAACTGCTCAAATGTTGATTTACTGTGGGCGTGGGTTTTAGAGCATAGAACTTTTAGGGGAAAAATCTTAGCATTTGAAGCACATACTTGCATTCAAATTTGTTTTTATGCTGAATGTCAGAGAATATATAATAAAAATTAAAATATTAAGCATTGCCGATTACACTAAAATACTTTGAAATCTGTTGACCACTTAAACCCTACAGGTAATAATGGTTTTGTCACAGCTGTTCTCACATTTGACAGATGAGAGTCCAAGACTCACTCTCATGTTCTGATTACTGAGTGATAGGACTAAAGGCTAAGTCCCTGGGTAGGTGGGACAGTACCATTTCCGATACCAGATGCACTTACACACAAGAGTTGTCCTTTGTATGATTTTTAAAAATTTTTATTGCCATTCAGTCACTTTTGTATTCTGAGGCCATTCTTTGATAATAGATTACTGGGAGGAAAGACTTTAGTGTGATAGCTTGAATTGATTTGCTCTGTTAAAGTAGCGTAAGTTGCTTGTTCAGTTGGGTAAGAAACATTTTTGCGCTAATTTTCTCCCTCACCTCTCTCCTCACAGAGGACAGCTATGGGATGGATGGGAAGGTTAATCTGTCCAGACGTGCTGCAGACACCAACTGGCAAGGCCTGGCACAGTTAGACAGCGTGAGTGGAAGCGGCTCTAAATACAGGCACAACTATAGACCTAGTCTGCTTGACTGGACTTGTTACTTGAAGGATGTAGATAGAGTATTTGCACTGCTGAACAGTCACTCTGAGCAGAAGCAAGCAAATCGGACTGAAACTGCTCACAGTGATGGGTCCCTGCTCACCTCTGCTGAGCACCCAGTGCCAGGGGAGAGCCCCTCTGTGGAGTCAGACAGAGACCCAAGTCGGACGGGCAGGGAAGCTCTTCATTGACCTGGCCAGCTGACCTTCCAACCCTTCCTTTGAACCGACCAACATTCAGTCCAGAGAGTACACTTGAACAGAACAATGACATTCCAGAAGTGAATCATCTGAATTCTGAACACTGGAGAAATGGTAAAACTGAAATTGGATGGGGCGTGAGACTGACCATGCTAAAAGCAGTCTTAGTGGCAGTGGCATGACAGAGCTGGAATTCCAGCCCCGCCCCCAGGCTGCAGCCCACCGCCAGCCATGAGAAAGGGCCTCCCAGGCTGGGGGTCCTGAGAGGATGTTTTTGAAGATCAGCTGTATCTTCCCATGCATTCTGGTGGAAGCTTCTTTCATCAGATGCTCAGCACACACAGCACAGCACAGCCTGTTGATTCCAGCCGACTGGAGAGGACGGCAACCAAGGTGGAGAGGCCGACCCAAAGGAATGCTTGAGGCTTGTGGAAGACAGTTCCTCCACTCTCCTCTGAGTAGATGAAGTTGTTACCTTGTCCTAAATACAGTATTTCTCTCTAACATTTTATTAGCAAACTAATGACAGAAATCTTAGCTACCAACATTCCAAGCTACCCTGGGTCCATTCATGCAGAATTTAGTGTGCCTGTGAGCAGGTGGTGTGCACCCAGCGGCACACCCGGCATTCAGTCTGCCATGAGGAGAAAGAGTGGTTGGGGTCTTTTCCATTTTGTTTTGGAGTAAAACTGTTACTCTTTTGAACATTGTAGGGCCTGCATGTATAAATGTTATCCAGTGACAGTGCTAGAATGGTGCCTTTCTTGGTTTCTGAAACTTGACATCCTTGGTGAACCTGTCAACACACTTTCACTGCTGCATCGTGAAGTTCTGATTCATTTTAACCACTGGAATTTTTCAGTGTCATCATTTCTGGTTCAGTGATTTTGCACTTTGAGATTGGCATGCCATGTCCATTTGGTTGGCATTATTATTCTATTATTATTAACAGGCTTATCAAGGTCACACTGTTTGCTCTCAGTGTGATAAAGTAAAAGACACCCCGAGCACGACACACAGTATGGATCACATATTGTTTAACACACACTTCTGCCAGAACATATTGCATGTGTTTTACCTTGACTTGCTAAGATTAATTAGCAGAAAGGAACGGCTAATAATGTTGGTGATAAAAGTAAATTTAAAAAACCAACAAGTCAAAGACTGTCTGCGCTCTCTGTGCCGAGTTTCAAGTGATTCAGCTATGCTTAAGATTGCAAAATTTTAATTATTTTCATGACAGAAGTAAAAGGACTAAAGACCTTGTGCTTTCATCTTTGTTTTGTTTTCTTGGCCTGATTAATAAGCTTAAGCGTTGAGAAAATATATGTAGTTTTAAATTTATATAAGGAACTTTTTCAATTAACTAAAATCATGAATATTCCATAATTTAAACACATCATAAGGGAGATTAATTTTGTAACATTGTTGTATGACTATTTTAGGACCTTCTCCAAGTTCTGAATTTTTAAAGACATAGATCAAAATTACTGTTAAAATCTGTATTCTTGCCAATATTCTTGTTTTGTACTCGATTGTTAAATACCAGCAAAAGAATTACCTCATTGAAAATCATCAGTACCCTATTGAATTTCTTGAGAAGATATTTTTGTTTCACTTAACAGTGGTTTTCTTTTTATTTTAGACACTCAAACATTTAGATAAGTTATGTTTTCATTAAGTGTTTAAGTAAAACTCTTAAAAGAAAATTTAATATGTTATAGTTGTATCTCTGGTTACTTTAAGTCTTTATCATAGATTCTGTACATATGTTAAAATCCGCGTTTATCAGATGTGTGTGTCATCGGCTGAATGACAGAATAAACATATTTATGATCATGAATGATGTGCTTTGTAAAAAGATTTCAAGATATTAGGAAGTATACTGTGTTTTTAATCCTGTATAATACTCTGTGATACTTTTATAGAACAATTCTGGCTTCAGGAAAGTCTAGAAGCAATATTTCTTGAAATAAAGGGTGTTTAAAATATACCTGTTTCCGAGAAATGAATTTAACCATTGTGTGGTGCACGCGTTCCTTGCAAGCTGACTCCGAATCTCGACTCAGGGCAGATACCAGGCCTCCACGCTTGCTTTAGAGCTCTTGCCAGCTTGATATACTTAGTAAGTTTTAAGAAGGGGGCCCTGATCACATTCTCCACCAGGCCCTGCAAAGATGCCATCCATCCAAGGCAGTTTGGAGACCATAAGCTTGATGCAACTAGAAACCTAATCCTTCTCCAAGACCCACATTTTCTGTTTGATGAATTCCATTAGACTCAAATGTCCAGAGTTAGAAGGTTAAAAAGAAATGCAAAGGATTCAAGTATTCTCCAGTCCTCAAATGATTGAAAAAGCATAGTTTCATCAAGGAACAGAGTTAGCAGTAATGGTATTGTCCAAAGACAAAACTCTGTTGCTTCCTTTAAAAAACAATGGATGCCTATTAATTGTACATAACCATGAAACTCAATGTGGTGCTTCCACACCCGTGTACAACACACTGACCATCTGTAACCGCCCTCCTGCCCTCTCCCCGCTCCACCCCCAGCACTCCGAGGCCCAGTCCTTACTACTCTGCTTTCAAGTCAACTTTAGTTTCCACTCGTGAAAGAATATGTGTCCAACCTCTTGTTGCTTTATTAAAATGTGACTAGGCCGAATGTTGCTATCCTGGAGAAACTCTGTGGCAGTACAGTGCCATAACTATTTAGGCTGTGCCTGCCACGTGAAAGGGGCGTGCCAGACACTGTGTCTCTGTATTTCAGAGGCTATTTCAGAAATTGAAAAGCCCTGAGAGTTGGCTGCTCACCAGATCTTGTTTGATCTAGTGCCCAGAAAGCCTGAGCTGCCTGGCCCATTCCCCATCCCACACTGACTTAGAAGATGAAGAGAGGGTCCGCTCCTCTCCACCTTCCCTGTGGACACACTTGTGCGTGCACACACATGTGCATGGCACAAAAATGCACTCACCAGGTCCGAGGAAAAACCACAGTGAGGCCCCACTGGACACGGGTGCCCCACTTTGTAAGGAGGAAACAATCCGTATGATATTTAAGACCTGCATTAACCTCAAAACTCTTATTTTTTCCCTATCTGTACGAGCTTAGGAAAACCCACCCCTCTCTAAAACAACTTTAGAGTTTACCAAAAATAACTGTAAAACAAGAGGTTTGAATCAAGAGTGGCAAATAAGCAACATAAGTGCTTTCTTTTCTCAGAATGTGCCAGGAAAGTTTTCCATTGATCTTAGAGAATTTATAGCCTCAGAATCCCCAGAGCAGCCAACTACCTCTCTAGGTGGCGCCAATGTGATTGACTCGTGTTGACCTGGAACACAAAACCCACCTGCCACACTCGAACTAAAGCATCCCCGATGCCTCCTCCTGAGCTTCTGTTAAAAGGTGGGGCTGGGGGCCACAGGGGAACCTCAGCAGCAGAGCATTGCTTCTCATGCTGGAGGCACTGGATTCCATTTCCAAGACAGCCCCCCCCCACCCCAAAAGTCCTAAGATTACTAGCATCTCCAGGTTTTCTTGGGTAAAAAAACAAATAGAAGGTGCTGGGGATTTAGCTCAGTGCCATAAGCACCTGCCTTGCAAGCAGGCAGTCATGAGTTCGATCCCCGGTACCGATAAAAAGATAAAAAAAAAAAAAAATAGAAGAAAATACCCCAAGCCCAAGCCAACTTCCTAAGGGTGTTGGCAGTCTAAGTTTAGGAGGTCTGTTTGGGTACTGGGCATGAAACCCAGGGCCTCCCGCGGGTTAGGAAAAGGCTCTCTCCCTGAGTTGCACCCACAGCACTTCTCTCTAGGCTGTCCAGGCTGCCCTTGAATTTTGATCCTTCTGCCTCAGTCTCCCCAGAATTATACTCATTCACCATAGTGCCCAACCCATATTTAAAGGATTTTTAGAATTATTATTTTTAGGACTTAATTAGCCAATTTAGCCCCATTTTACATGATACTTCCAAAACTGATTTTAATAGAAAACAGATCTTTGATCAACGATTAAGGTCCCCAGGGTGATCAATAATACCGCCCCAGCTCCGTCCCCTCTGACCTCTGCCAGCTCGCAGGACTTCCACAGTCTCTGCCACCCCCATCCCCTCCTGCTGGGAGTCACCCTCTCCCTCCCCACCTGTCCCCTCTTGTAGTCACACTGCCTGCAGTTTTCCCTGCCTTCCCACCCTTCCATTTCTCTCTCCCTCCCGTCCTATCTCAGCCTGCAGCAGCCCCAGCCACCCTTCAGTTCTATCTTTTCAAATTTCACCTTTTCACATAAACTGGACTCTGCACCCTGGACATCCCCATTGGACGCTTTTCCGAGCAAGAAGGCGAATGTTGTGCGGGGTCTGGCCCACTGGAATGAGAGCGGCTGGCCCGGCTCACAGCCCTCTCCCTCTTCTGACCCGGACGTGCCCGGCCCTGGGAGCGGGGAGCACTTGGCTGGGGTTCAGAATTTTCCACCCCACCCACGCACCGCGCTTGCACAGGTCCCTGGGCCTCCGGACCTGGGGTCCAGAATCTGTATTCTCTCCCCATGCCTCGCTTCCCCCACCCCACCCCATCCCTCCACTTCCCAACCCCAGCAGGGCAGGGGCGCAGAGGGCAGGTTTCAGTCCAAGAAGACAAGTCATGGCCTTTGCCACGGAGGACAAGGCCACGAGAACCCCATTGTGGCCGAGCTGGGCGTGTTTCCTACAATGGCCACTAGGTGGCACTCTATTGAAATCAAAACCATCTAACTTGGAGCACTCGCGTTGATTCTGGAGCAGCCCCGCTCCTCTGAGTGTTACCGTTTGACGAGAATACATCTAGAACAACTTGATCCGTGGCAAGCTTGCTCTTTCTGCATGCCTAGGATCTTAGCCATTCGGGCAGGCCGAAGAACTCTTTTAGACTCCTGCTGATTTATGTTGGTATTAGGAGTTGGAACTGCATCAAACTCTGATATTTAGATTCACAAGTAAGTACTGAGTATTGATCTCCTTGCTTTTCAATGACTTTGTGCAATTACAATTTTTTTTTGTTTTGCCTACAATACACTGCAGCCACAGAGTCTGTCTCTGCCCAGCAGACAATTTTAAAAAGAAGAAAGGAACTGGATGTTTTTTAACAGCTCTTAAAACACTGAGGCTGAATCAAGTCTGGAGCTAGCGTAAAGCAAGGAAGGTAAGTGACCACAGCCCATCACTTTTCCTTACAGTTCAGTTCTCAAAGTAAGACGTTCTAACGTGCCTGCTTCCAAAATCCCGGCCTCAGAATGCCTCTGCTGTTACCCAACAGGGTAGAAAACTTAAATTCATGAGAAATCCTTTGACTAAATTATGTACACATGATAGAGCAGACTGACCAGGGTTTGCCATTTACTGTTTGTGAAAATAGCTCCTTTGATGAATACTGAAAGCCAGGGGGAAATGTGAACCAGAAGTTCAGCGCGCACACACCTTGAGCCACTCTGACAGACCCTTTGCTCTCTGTGTGTGACGGGGTAAGGAGTGAGACATGGAAATCCACTGCTCTGCTCTGCTTTCTGCCTGTGAAGTGCTAAAGGCAGACTAAATATAACCCCTCTGTACTCCAGCCCGTGAGTCACGCTGTTATTTCTATTTTCCACGCCTCTTTTTACCTCGTTCCACCTCTCACCCAAAAGCGTGAGATGCCAGTGGGTTTAGAGAACTCGGAGACACCCAAACCCAGTGCCATGAAGGGAACAGAGGACAGTATGCTAAAGGGGAACAAGTCGGGCACAGAAAGACAAACAGCACACATTCTGGGTTATATATGGAAACTGGGAAAGTGGATCTCACTGAGGCCAGGAAGGGTTTGAGGGAGGGAGGCGGGTAGTAACAGGTACGGGGATGCAATGGAGAGGAGGAATGCTTCGTTCCTCCGGGTCCTCCTCACACCCGCTCCACCTGGGAGACTGAACCCAGAGCCAAGCAGGAGAAATAACGTGCTAGTCTTCTGTAGCACTGCAGGGTAACTACTGTACACAGGTCACTGCGTGTTTCAAAAAACTAGTAGGCAGGACTTTGAATGTTCTCAATACAAACAAATAACAAATGTTTGAGGCCAATGGATAAGCCAATGACTCTAATCTGATCATTACACATTGTGTACTTGTAATGAAATGTCATACTAAACTCATAGGTATGTGTGTACATATATGCACACACATATACACTTGTGTGTATATACCTATGTACATATGCTTACATATAAACTTGTATATATGATTACATAAACATATACTTTTTAAAAAAACTAATGCTTTTTTTCTCCCTAGGTGGGATCTAAGCCCAAATTCTTGCTCCTGTCTCGGAGAATGGGCTTCTGGGCCATTCCTGCAACCAACCATTAACTTGTCACTCAGTAGAGCTGGGAAGGAGGAGGATTTATTTGTTAACCAACTCATTCGTTGCCTTTGGGAGTCAGTGTGTGTGCTTGTGTGTGTGTGTGTGTGTGTGCACAGCACACGCATGCACTAATGATTTTCCCTTGACTCACCAGGCTTTACAATAATGAGTTGGACTCCTCTGGAAATCATTCTTAACACAATCGACCAGCCACACACCATTTGGTCCCCTTGATTTTCAGGATCCCGGGCAGCCAGGCAAACCATGACACTAGTGCAGGCCAGTGAAGGGAGAGCGGAAGTGATGTGTGTTACCTCCAGGCTAAGAAAGAGAAAAGCCCTCTGCCACTCTCTGACCCTGCCTGTCCCCCAGCAGCCCGGATCCCTGCAGGACTGTGTGGACCAGAGCCCCAGTGCATGTGTTCTGTGGGTGAGAACACAGGTCTGTGGACCCGTGCGCTTGGAAGCCAGAGGTCTGGGGGTTGGGTTATTCAAGCATAACCTAACAAACACAGTCAGGACACATAGTTCTGCAGTCTGAAATTCTGTCTTCAATTTTAACAAAAAATGAAAAATTTAAAATTATTTTTTTGGTGACTCAATTAAGCATGGGCTACAATAGGCTCTAAAAACCATAATCCTAAACTTACCATTGAACATTTTGCTTCAAGACAAACATCAGTCAAGCAAGGAGTTAATTCCATGGAAGAAGTGAGAAATCACACCAGCATTGCTTTTTCTTTCCAAACAATAAAAATCCAGAGACAAACTAATTTCAATGCCACACACTTTATTCATTTTTTAAAATTTTTTTCCTTAATATTCAATGATCAAGTATTCAAGATATTGTAAACCAAGGTTTATCAGTACATTGACAATCAGTTTCATTGAACACAAGGAAGGCATACATCTTTTAAATTAATCCAGGTAGGCCTCTGAATAAACATTCATCTTAAAAATCACAAAGCAAACTCCTTTATGTAATAACTCAGAGCAGCCCTTCGTCACAAGCACACCTCTACACAGAGAAACACAAGCACACTGAACTCACACTCCACTGAGACTCTACCGCCGGCTCCTTCGACACAGGACTGCATCTCCTCAAGCTGCCGTGTTAAGAGGCTTCATGCTTCTACGTTAACATTTGGGGGTTGGGGTAGAGGTATATCTATTTTAAGAAAAATGCCCACTGCCAAATCTTACCAATTATTTCTATTTTCTAGTTCTACATACAAACCGTAAGCTTCTTTTTCTCACCCCTTTGGTTTAATACATCCTTGCAATTAGTTTTCAGTGACATTTTCTCTGTAAATGTTGACTTCTTCTGATAGACTACCAGAAAAGGACAATACCTTTAAAACCTCACTGCTAAAAACACCCCACATGGGTGTATGCTGTTTGGAGGAAAAAAAATATGAAAAGATTATCTGAAATAGTTTTACCTATCTTTGAAATCAGTTTTAGCATCTGATCATTCTTGTGAAATTCATATCAAAAGCATTTGAGTTACCCATAGAAAAGCAGTCCCCCTCAGACGCTTCACTCTTGCAGCGTGGAGTTCATGGATCAGCTGTTGAAATAAGAGGAATTGGAGTTTGTCTTCTGGGAAATTTTCCAGATTTCCAAAATGCAAAGCACAGCAGCCCCTGATCAGTGAAATACTGTGAATTCAGTAGTGAACATGCATTGTTGAATACTTTTAGCACCAAGGCATTTTTTTTAATGTTGCAAAAACAAACAGCTAAGGAGGGTTTTCATCACATTTGACCCCTCCTTATGGATGAATAAAAATGAAGTGCTTAAAATGAAACCTTAACCATACACAGATCTGGTTCCAATGCAACAAGAAGTCTGGGACAGAGATAGCCAGCAGCATCTTGGAAAATGACGAAGACACAGAAAAGATGAAGTGCACAGCGATGGACTGTGCCTGCCAGCCACACACTCCCTTAGGATGGAAGAGGAAAGACACAGGCATACCAAGGCTCCCTCTGAGTCTGTAAAACAGGGAACTAGCAAAGCTGCAGTCTAGGTGACTCTGGAGCGGATACGGTGTTTTAGTGTCATGTGCTGCTCAGAATACCCAGCGTGCACCTGTGTCTCAGCAGTCACGTTCATGTGCTGATTTATCTATGGTGTTTCAAGCACACGCACTCCCCTGCCACTCCTTGGTGCGCCAGAGAATCCCTACCAGTGCTCCAGGTCCTTCCAAATCCTGACGCTTCTCCTGGGTACACATAGTGTTTCCACAATAAAACAGTCCAAAAACAAAGGAACTTTCGGGCACCAAATCCACCAAAGAAGGCAAGCTGGACGGTGGACTGAGGAATTTTCTGGGTGCTCGGTGAAAATGTAGGATGCCATGACCTCCCCGAGCCCCCTCTGGGTGCTGCCCCCCACGTCACACTCCGCAAGGCAACAGTCTGGGCCAGTGGCTCGCTATGGATTTTGCGTATGTTCACTGTAAGTCTGGGGACCTTAAATCTCAGACTCACCCCAAAACTAAGGGGAATAGTAGCATTCTGAAAGAGAAACACAGACCTGAAACTCCAAAGCGCAGATTCAACAAATCTGAATAACCGTGTTTTATGTTTCATTTCAGAAGCTCCACTCATGTTACTACCAAAATTGGATTGATTCTATATTAAATATAAACTATACGTAAATATTTGAGGTATATGATGACACTTTTTAATGTTACATTTAGCTAAATAAATGAAATTTACCATAAAAGTCTAATTAAACATTAAATGCTGATTGTTCCTAAAGGGATTTCCTATTTTTTTCTATTTACACAAGAAAATAATATCTCTAGTCTTCATAAACAGTCATATATCAGAAAATGAAATGCATTAAGCTCACTATTTTATAATCACATGTTGTCTCTGTTAACCAAAAACCACTGTCTGTACTGTATAGTAAGAAGAAGGGAGCCAGGGAAACCTACATCTCAGACTCGGTCACTCTGTACACACCTAAATAAGTGATTTCACCTAGCTGAGGCTCAGTTCACATCTCTCAGAGACAGAGACAGGGACAGAGAAGGGAGGGACGGACAGTAAAACAGGAGGCCGGGGGTGCCGTGCGGTGATACGGCACACACTTAGCATGTGCAAGTACCTAGGTTCAAATCCTAGCATCACCAAGACAAAAAAACCAGAACACCAGGATGGAGTCTTGGCAAGTTAAGAGGATGAAAATGGATAACATGCAGTAAGCACTTGTGAAATGCTCTGCAATGACTGCTGATTAGTTTCCTCTCTGATCCTTTCTCCCCACCCCAACACAGTAATACCGTGACTCTGAATGACTTTTGATCTCTCTCTCTCATTCTCTCGCTCTCAATCTCTCTCTCTCTCTCTCTCTCTCTCTCTCTCTCGCTCTCGCTCTTAATCTCTCTCTCTCTCTCTCTCTCTCTTGCTCTCTCTTGCTCTCCCTGTACTTGGGATTGATCCTGGGACCTTTGCACTGAGCTATATCTCCAGCTCATTTTACGGCAGGGTCTCAAAAAGTAGCTACATTGCCCAGACTGGGGTAGAATTCACAATCCTCCTGCCTTGCCTCCCAGAGTGAGAGTCACCATGACGGCCTAACTGCTTACTAGGACCAGGACAACCCAAAGAATGTCTCCAAACCACCCACTCCATACCCTGTGAGTTTCAAAATTAATAGGCTGGACTCAAGGATAGTATATTTGAATATTAAACCTCAAAAACACTAATTTACAGAACTGATAAAGGAATGAGATGACTTTTTGCCAAAACAAGAAATTTAAAGCCTAAGTGCACAGAGCATGACAATTATAATGTCTATAGAGCCATGACTAAAAGTATCATAACCAGTTTATAAACAAACACATAAGACCTTATATATACAATTAAATACCATCATCCTTAAAACAGTCACTTAGTAGGCAAGATGATATCCCATGATGCGACCACAGCCTAAAGCATTTTAGGAACAATTCTTAATCGGTACAGTTCTAAAACGTCATTCCTTCATTTTTACTACTTATCTATACCACCGACAGCACATTAATGGTACACCTGTTATTACTAAGTATAAGGACGGACAATGCTAACATTGCAGGGAACACGTCAGGCCAGTTTCTAACATAATCACCCCCAGAGGTTTCATGGAGTAGCAGGCAGTAATCAGGAAATTGGTATCTGACAGACAGCCAGTGCCCTGGCAGTGCCTGCTAAGTGGATGACTATTCAAGGGGGAGAAAGGCTGGCGTTCTCTAATTTGCCCCCATGACTTCAACAATCATAGCACCAAAAAGCAATGCCGATCTTGCCCAAAATCTCTCATGAAGTAGTCTAATGGTTAGAGAAAAATTAAGGAACAATCGCTCCCCCTACATATGTTTAGCTCCAATACTAAAGGATATTTTCCCTTCAAAGGATTGAGTTCATCGATAAACAGAAACACTGAATCCCCATAGTAGTCACTGGGTGAATCAGCCATGTTTTCTGAAAATCTTCAATGTCCTCACATGGACCAAAGTTTGACACAATCTCAATCACAGCTAAGCAAGACAGCTCCCTCCCCTGGGAGTCAGCCCAGGAACCAAGGACAAGTCCTTATCACCTGAGCCACGCGCTTTCCCCTTGGCAGCTGCTGTTCAGTCTGACCGTGATTATCCCCTCCACGACTGAGCATAACCAAGAGAACCACTGGCCAGATGCCATGGCTGGGTGGAGAGGAAAACACCAGATTTTACCCGTGCAACCAAGCAAGGAGAGAAACCACAAAGCCCAGATTATGAGTCAGTCCATCACCTCTGTCCACGGAAAAGTATAAACCATGTCTCTCGCTGGCCTTACACAAGCATGGGCTCCTTGGCAGGAACAGCCCACAACTCTAGCCGGTACTGGAGCCCTTAAATTCCCTTCTGCAGCTCCCTGAGTGCTGTGGAGGGCACCCATCTTCAGCACCAGGTAGAAAAGTAAACTGAAGTGATATGCTGGGGGATTCTGTACAGAATGACGGACCATGAGCCCCAAGTGGGCTGAGGAAAAGAAAAGCCCTCTCTCAGGACTGCTGTGGGAAGGAACAAAAAGGGAATCAAGAGGACAGGATATAAAAGGATTGTGTCTCTGATAAAGTGCAATGTAATATGACAGACCAAGTTCTTGTAAATCATTTTCTCTACCAAGGATCTTCCTCTGGGTCTAGCTCACAGATCTCCTTTCTCCTGTATTCAGAGTGATTTTCATATCCCAGAGAAAGCTTTCCTGATTTAATGATTCATATTTAGGAGCAGCTACAGCAATTTTCTATACCAAAAAAGAAATAAATAAAAAAGAAGAGGAGGAGGAGGAGAAGAGGTGGAGAAGGGAAGGGAAGATACAATACAGAATTCCCAGTGCTTTACAGATATAAATTAAATGCTCTGGTGGGATTCAGCATTACCTCTGGAATTTCTTTTTCAGCTACTTTGAATGTCAAAGTTGTAATTCTTCACTGCTCTTACATGATCTGATGAGCCAAAGGAATTTTGACAGCAATTTCCTTGGATAAGAAAGCCATCCGTTTCCTTATGATGCATCTCAAATTACAGTGTCTAGCCATATTGTTTAGCACACTAGTCTTAAAGCCCCTGATGAAATACTGAGGTTTATGTTCAAGCTATCAGACTTATGATTCAGCAGCCTCTTGTGATGGGGCAGACAGACTAAAAGAGTGTCTTATGAAACGATGTAGCCATTCCTTTCATCACACTATGCATATGATTCCTTTGAAGCATTTGAAAAATTCTACCTGATTGATAACTCTGCTATGGCTTAAAATGCTACTAACAGTACTTGAGGGAACGTTCAGCTTCTCTTTTAAAAAACAAATCTGCTTTATTCTCTGAAAGCAAAGATAACATGCTGCACTTACATTTTCCCAATCAAATTGCATAGATGAGGCAAATTCATTTGTGCTTTGTAGCAGAGCTCACAGTAGACATCCAAATCTAAAATCTTCGATTTGCAAAAGCAAAGTCACGATTTGAAGTATATCCTAACGACACCCAGGGCCACTGCCCTTTCCGTGGTTGTGTCAACCACGGACCTCAGTCTCACCCCACACTGCAGCATGAGCAGTAAACTACCACAGCAGGAGAAGTACCGAATCTACCGACCTCCTCCTTGCAGAGGGGAGAGAAAGGCTCCAGTCTCGTTGAGGTATCCAGCCCTCAGTCCGTAGTGGCTGTGTACAATGAGTTTTGTTGGGTTGAGATTGTGTCTGTAGAGGTTAAAAAAGAAAAAGAAGGCACAGGTGTTTCTCAAGTCGCCGTGTTCAACTCAACCAACAAAACGAGTGGTTTCCCAGCTTCCGCAGGCGGGCTACACGGCAGCAGGGCTCTCCGCCAACCCTGGCTCTGCAGAGGAGCTTATTGCTTCCGGGAAGGGCCCGGGGGAGGTCTGCACTGCAGAGGCCACGCCTTTCTGCAAGCCAGTGTCTTCGGGGACCTCCCCCGGGGTGCAGAAGGCCGGGCACGAGGTAGTCCGGGCGTGCTTCGCCGCAGCGTCGGGCTGGCGCACGAGCTCGCTCACCGTGCTGAGGGGCAGCTCTCGGCGCTGCTGCCTCTGCACCTCGTCCTCCTTGCACTTAATGGAGTACCAGGCCAGGAAAATAAAAATAAAGCCCACGAACTTGAGGCCAGCCGCCAAGCCGAAGTAGACGAAACGGAAGGACGTCACGTTGTACTCCCAGCAGGAGCCCTGCACCCCGCAGTCCTGCTGCCACAGCATGCAGGTGGTGTCGATCACTGCTCCAAAGTAGATGGGAGTCGGAATGTACGCTAGGGTGGTGGGGAGAGAGAGAGGCAGAAGATTTAGCGCGGCTTACTAGAGAAGATGAATTTTAAGCTGGAGAGGTAGACGGCCTAAGAAATTACTGAAAGGAGTGATCTTTCGATTTTTTAAAATATATCATTTCATCACAATTTATTATAAAAACATATATATGCATTCACTAAATAGTAAACACTTAAAATCTTCCCCTTTGCAACTCAGAATGTGTTACTTTTAGATCATAAAACTCTATCACTTGTACATTACACATTTTAGGTTCAATTTTATTTGTCTAATTATACCCCAATAAAGCTGGAAAAAAAAGTCTACTACCAATAATGTAAAGCGAATCCCTTTAAACTACAAATGGATCTTGTCGTTACATACTTGAGAAGCTATACCAGAATGCTTTAGTGCCTAAGTTCAGTAGCGTTTAGTCTGTGGGTTGAGTCCCAGTCTGTGGCTGCAGGAAGAGGAGGTGTTGTCTCCCATAAGCAGACACCACATCAAAAGGCAAGTTCACAAAGGCACCTGGGGTGCGGGAGCAATTATGGCACAAAATCCATCTTTGAAGCTCAGGACACAGCAGCAGCTTGTTGTTCGGGCCATGCTAGGGACACTCTTTAGTGTCCCAGGAAAGTCTGCCTGGTAGGTCTGCTGCATCGCAGGCTGCTCCCTTTGCCAAAACGTGTCCAGGGCCTCACTGGCAAACACCTACCCATCCTTTAAAGTCCTTTCATGCAGAAACACGGGTCCCATGGTGTTTTGTGTATGTCTCCATTCTATTAACTAAACATGAGATTTATGTAAATTGTTTGCCAACTTGACCCTTCATAAATTCCCCAATGGCAGGGCCACACCTTTTAGGCTTCGCAGCCCAAGAACCTAGCAGGAAAGCCCACATGTGCTCAGTAAAGATACAGATTGGGTAGAAGGCAAGAGAGGAAGGAGGGAAGAAGGAAAGAGAAGGAGGACCAGAGGAGGACGGGAAGGGCAGCAGGCCAGAAGGCTGGGATGCATTTCTAAGTTTTATTTTGTGAAAATGAGATCTATTGCTACAATTACAATGTAAGTTCTTTGGTATTGTTGCTTTGAAATTTTGAGGAAATGAAATCAGCCTGTTAGCCTAACTGCACATTTCAGCATCAATAGAAATTACAATAAGGCTAAATGAAGTACTAAACAGCCGGTACACTCTCCCTCCCCCATTCTTGGTGCTACAGCACACGGCTGCTGACTGCCATTTGCCTCCAAACCTGTATCAAATAATCCACGCCACGCCATCAAAGTGGGGCAGAGCCAAAGGAAGGAATTCCGTTTTCTTCTCCTACCCACCCATTCCTTCAGTGAATCAATTTCTTTCTTTGAAAATAACACTTTCGAAGCATGCACCTCCCCTCCCTGGTAAGCAGTGGCGGTGTGGCAGACTGCAGCCCTTCCAGGGGGAGAACCAGCAGCAGCTCCTGAGATCTGCGCCATGTTGGAACTTAGGACACTGTGAAACCAAACAACCAGCCTGCCTCCCTGCTAAGCAATAGTGAACCTACTGACGCACAGCCTAGAGTCAAACATCCCACTTGCCCTACCCCTCTTCTCCTGTTGCCCCTGTTAGTAAATGCAAACCAGAAATCTGAGCGTCTCCTGGGAGGGTGACCGCAGCAAATAAGGGGGACTTCCTTCTACCATCTCTTTGAAGGCAAATATTTTTATTACTGTTTTGCTGTATTCTGATTAATGGTACTGCTCTATTCAATATTCTGTTTTGATAAGTTCTATAATGTTCTGTATTTCATCTCATTTTGATATACGTGATTGAAAGAACAACTATTATAAAGATAACAAAATATACTGTGATACCTGTTACTGTTATCCCGGTAACCTGCTGTGAAGTTCTGTACCAATTTCACTGTACAATCTTAGTTGGCTTTATTCTGTCTTGTTCTTTTGTATTTTACCACTTTCAAAATAAAATTTAAAAAAAAAAGAAAAGAAAATAACACTTTCTAGTTTTCAAGTTAACTGTGTGTGTCAGGATTTGTTTTAACCAGCACACATTTAAAAACAGTGCCGTCTTGTCTTACTGGTATCAGAAAAACAAGCCACCCATTAGGTAGAATTAGAGTCACTGGGTCTGTCTGGGGCTTATTGGAAAATGCTCATCCTTGAGCTGAGCCACCAACCACAAATATGACAAACTGAAAATTCCAGAGAAGAACAATACTTCAAAGCGTAGGACTATGCCATTTAAAAATGTTTCACCCTTCACAACCTAAAATTTGAATCAAAAAAGCTTTTCTTTTGGTCCAATTGCAATAGCACTGATCACTAGGGAGAACATAGCAGCTGAAAACAATGGCGAGCTGCCAGTGAAGAAAGAAAAACTAATCGTGGTGATGAGGAAGTCAGTCAGCAATTCACTGAAACTGACCAGGCAATGGCCACTTCACCTGCTCTTCCTGGTCATTGTCCCAACACGGTGACACCCATTTGCACAAATTACTCTTCATGCAATCTATTCATAGTGACATTAACACCAATGTGATTTTCCTGTTGAAGAAAGTTCTGCATATCACTTTTTTCCTTTTAGAATTTTGTTTTCCTCAGAAAACTTGATAGGTGTCCTCTTTGCTCAGGCCAATAACATTACTATAAAGAAGTAAGAAACTGAAATTTTTACAAGTAAAATGAGTGTCCATTTCTCACTTTCATGTTAAGAAGCCAAAAAGTGTCCAAAATGCCAGAACAACAAACCCATTATGAATTTCTTGATTACATATTTCTTACTACACAAACTGGAAAGAATGTTGCCCAAGCTTATGTTCACAATCAAAAGGAAACCAACCCAAAGTCGGTTTTGTTTTTCTGTTTCAAAATAACTTGTGGGCTTTTAGCTCAAATCTGAAATAAGGAAGTGTGCCCTCACCTCAAACCTATAAATTCCTCACCATGAACAATAACAAATGACTGGCATTTGTAAAGGACGGTGGGCATTTGCCTGCTGCAAACAGGAGGAACCGAGAGGCATGCTGGGAAACTCAGGGACCTACCAAGTGTTCGCAGCAAGACAAACTGCATCCCCAGAGCGAAAGGTCTCTCTTCGTCTTCCACAGACCTACAGTAGGGGAAAGAAAAGCAGGTTTTTACAACATAGCAGCCCCAAGAAACCAGGTGCCGAATCAGGCTTGCTTCAAGTAGAGCCCGAGGCTGAAGGGACGCTGTGCCTTAATACTTAATTCACTAGAACTTACTAACACCAGCCAAGCAAGGTGGAGGGCCAAATGACAGAAGAAGATCTCCTCAATGAAGACACTAAAACAATTCAATTAATTCTAACTGCTTCCAGGAAAATACTAGTGGAAGGTCAGCGGTTCTTGGCTGAAAAGGCAGACATAGCTCAAATTGGGAGCTATTCTTTTTTGTTTTTAAATAATTTATAACATTTTACCTTAAAACTGTACCCTCTTTCTCTTCTTGCCTGAACTTTCCAGAACACTGGACGTGTCCATGGAAATTACTGCCATAATACACTCAGGTTAGAAAGAATAAAAATAAAAACAAAGAATACAGCCAAAAATTATATTTTAAAAAAGCCAAAAATCAGAGAAAGAATAAACTCCTCTAAATCACACTTTGTCCTTTTGCTGAAATTCATGCCCAAAGTAATTCCCATGCGGCAGGAAGGCTGGAGCCTGCTGATTTTGCAAGTAGCAGAGATTACAGGACTCCTTTCTGAAACTGAGGTTAGAGGACAACTGGTCAATTGCTATGTCTGAACACCATACCCTGGTGGCCCTCTGGTGGATTATTTAGCATCCCATGAAACCAAAGTGCAAAGCATTACATTATTAAGTGAGTTAAATTACTAACAGTTCACACAGCTTTTAAGTGGTGAGTGCATGTACCTGTACTCCCAGCTACTCAGGAGGCTGAGGGGAGATCACTTGAGCCTAGAGATTTGAGGCCACCCGGGGCAACATAATGACATACACCCAGGACAAACAAAATAATCACATATCTTATCCTAGGGTTCTAGGTATACAATGGAAAAACTTCCCAAGGGCCAGCATCCCTGGTGTCCCCAAATTCTCTATGCTTTATAGCAATTTGCCCAGCTCTAAACATAGTTGTCCATTCATAAATAGCTGCTGATCAACAAATGTGGGGAACAAACCAACATACTTTTCCTGCGCTTTATGATACTACCAAGGAGCAGCTTTCCTGGGACAGCATCCAGGAGGACAGAAGCCAGGACAACGTGGTGCCACCCACCCTCACTAGGCAGTGACACCTCAGCACGGCTTCATGACGGATGCCTATCATGGTAAGGTTCTGAAGAGCTGGAGGAGAAATAACGGCTGACTCTGTTCCCTGTATGGATGTCTCACCACTGCTCCTTCCTGCCTCTGCCCCTGAAACCTTTACCGCAAACACCAGCATCATGATCTGAATGTGGCAGCATCAACATTTTTAACACAACAGAAGTAGCTGCCATGTTCTCCCATAAATACAAAAATACAAACAGGATAATATAATACAGCAAAGAAAAGCACAGCCTGAGTAAGTGAAAAAAAAAAAAAACCCACTTTCAGTCTACCCTTTTCTTTGATCCAACTCCAAAATTTCAGACAAGAGTCAAATGAATGAACTCAGCACTGTGAAATGCAGGCCCAGCATAAGCATTCACGGGTCCTAAAGGTACAGCACTGGCTACCTGCAAGGTTAGATAATAGCTTCTGCACTGTGCATGATTTAGCAACCTTGCTTTCCTCTGGGGTCTGGCTTCTCAGAGCTCGCACAGAGATGGCTTCCAACTCCTGAAGTCTGACCTCATAGGGCAGAGACGTCAGGAACAGAAAGGACCCAAATGATGGTTCACTAAACAATAGGACCAGAACCTAGTCGAAGATAGTTTCAGAACATAAAATGTTACGGTCGTCCTTTCCCTTCCTGATGCTGCTTGCGCCATCACCTCCCAGAAGTGGCTGCTGGTCTCACCTGAGTGTGACTATGATGGCTGACGGCTGGGCACACGCTGTGATGAAGGTGACAATGAACAGGAACACTAAGAAGGGGATGAGCGTGTTGCAGGTCCGCTTGCACTTCCCCGACACAGCATACCCATTCTCGTTCAGATAGGTTTTGACTATCACCACTCGGAGCTGGCCACGCTGCCCCACGGTGGGTGGGGTGATCACTTGGCGGCTCTGGACGCAGGTGCATTCAGTGTAATTCCGAATCTAAGTGGCAAAACAGGAACAACCAATCAAAAGCAAAATGTGGCACAGGAATAGCAAGAAAAAGTTGAGCTTTATGTTCTAAAATAACCATCGTATTTTTAAATTGTGAAAACTTTACCAAAAACGTCACCCTTGCTGATGACAGGAAGCAGTCTAGTCAAAATGGTTTAAACTGAAACTTTTTAGAGGAGTGCTCAGTATTTCTATGATATTCACCTACAGGATGCTCGTTTTGTGTCCCAAATGTATTATGCTTTGATTATCACAGAACTCTCAGGTCTCCATTTCAGTCCTCAGAAACAGCAACTCGACCCTGAGTTTCATCTGTGTTCACCACACTACTTTGCACGCCCCTGCTCTCTAAATGCCTGGCTCAGTCTCACTCTCCAGATTAACTAGTACCACCACGAGCACACTGAAGGCCCTGAAGTTAATGTCTACTAAAAAAGATCAGAACACAAACGTGGTGAGCGCTCCGGCCTCAATGCCTTTTTCATTGCCTGGTGGCCTCCACCCTACAGATGCGTAATCACCCCACCATGGATGTATAAGTGTGGTGACTAGGGCTCGTGCCTGCGCTGCTCTTGCACCCCACACAGTTCAGCTGTCTGCTGAGGCTCAAATCACTTGTTCACTTTCCCCAGCAAATATCTGTGACTCCCTACCGCTCTACCAAGAATTGTCCAAAGGACTGAAGCTACAGAAGAGCAAAAAAAGACCAAATCTTTTCAGTTAACTACCAAAATTCCCATGAAAACAAATGCAAAAGTGAAAAATGGAACTTCATTTGGCATTACTTACACAAAACAAGTTAGTGAATGCTGAGCCAATCAATTCACTATCACGGTCTAGTCTGTTGTGTATCACTGAATGGAAATCGGCTGAGTGGGTCCTCAGAGGACCCACTGAGAGAAGCCGTGCAACAAGAATTAAGGTAGGCCCCTGTTTTACCAGCTCTGCTGGGGCTCAAAGAAGGAGCACGGTGCCCCAGAGGCTCAGCCTGCCTGCAGGAAGAACTCTCTGTTTCCCCGTGCTCTCTTACACAGGAGCTCGCCAACAAGGTGCCAGGAACCAGCGCCAGGAATTCTCAATTTATCACTCTAGTTTCAATCTCAGAATCAAAAATGGCATCTCTAAAACATTCCATCAGTAGCACCACACCCTATCACCGGCACAGAGCAAACAGATGCATATTAACCTTTTAATTAAAGCAGCTGCCTATAATCTACTTTTATGCAGAGACTTAAGCCAGGCTCAACAGAGAATGGAGTAGGATATGCAAACCTCCTTCCACAGTACTACAGCCTATTTTTAATCCACAGGGAAGGGAATTCTCAAAATAACCTATTCTTGAATTGACAGAAATATCTTTACTCTGAGGAGTTTAAATAAAGGTTGAATTGACTGCTCTTTGTAAAAAAATGGCCACCGCTCATCTTCCCAGACTCTGACGAGCGCAGGTGCTTTCTGAGGCTCTCCTACCAGCACCAGCTGTGGTCACCTTGACCTTCAGTCCATTAGAAGAGTCCTGTCAGGATCAGATGGAAAAGCTGGAGCCCAATCTTCTCAAGTTTCACTGAATTGGCTCAACACTAAAACAGGAGAGGCTGAAATAGGACCAAATCTCTAGGCACAAATGCATCGCTTTTTGTCATCCCTGGCAAAAAATGATAGCACTGCATAATTGTCTTCCCGCTAGGCATCCATCAGCGGTATTGGGTAGGTTATTTGGGACTCCTTGAAAAGGGGGACTGAAATCACCATGGCACAAATGCATATGAATTCACTCACATCCTTGCTACAGGATATTGGATTAGCCACAGAAGAGGAATTTAGGAAGTACACTCACCCCCGTGCTAAGATTGCCACTATTAATGCAGCCAGCCAGACAAGGGTTAAAGTATGTAATCCCATCCGATCCACACACTGGTTCATACTCGTGTATTTTACAACCACAGTTAACATTGCAGCTTCCCGTCAGATTCCTGTGGGGCATGGTCAGAGAAGGTCTGGGAGAAAAGAAGAAAGTCATCAACAGCATGCATTAAAAATGAACCTAGGAGGAGAATTCTTGATAGCCAGTAATTTATCGAGAAGATATCACCATCACCAGAGCTATGGTCTCACAAAGTAGCCACTCTCCACAGTTATTTTTATGACTTCAAGCCAAAATCTAAAGATAGATGTTTTGGCCTTCTTGTGCTACAGATTCAATACTTTTTATCAAATTTTTGATACTTTTTATCAAATTCTCTGCCCCATCTCAATTCTATCCTCTACTTTAATGTTATGGGCCTAGTCTTACATCTGGGCTCAGCAACTCTCAGCCCATGTAACTCCTCCCTCTTCTTCGCCCTATAAATGTGAGCACTTGGTTCTATGCCTTCACAAATCTGAGCCTCAATTTATTTTGTTACGCTTTATTTTATTTATTTTTGCTGGTATAAGAATTGAACCCAGCACCTCACACATGCCAACCATGCACCTTACCACTGAGCTCTACCTCTATCCCTAGTTTACTTGATTTTTAATTGGCATATATTTACAAATGATTGACACAACTTTAATTGACACACAATTTACATATAATTTTAATTGACATGCAATTTATAATTGACATGTAAATTTAAGTAACAAGTATAAATTATATGTATGGGATATAACATTATGCTTTAACACATGTATATACTATGTAATGATTGAATCAAGATAACTAATAACTAGCCTTCACTTCAAATGTTATCCACTTCTTCAACTGTAAAATACAGACAATACTTGTCAGTACCAAATCAATAACAGCATTGTGAGCACATAATATGCTAAGATGAGCATTCACAGTCAAATGTGATGGGTTTCGTTTTCCCACAAGATCATAGTGTCTGATGCAAAGAAATGGTACAACATGGAAACTTCTAAGAAAATCAATTCAGCCAAAAACTAGAAAGAAAAAAGGGAAAAAAGGTTAGAGGCTCAGGGAGAAAAGCACAAAATGGCAGTGAAAAGCAGAGGCAGACAGACATGTAGGGGACCCAGAGAAGAACAGATGTCACTCCATGATGTTCATAAGCATGGCTTTTTAAAATTTTGTCACTATTTCACCATTTTTTGAGACAGTGTCTCGTCATGTAATGCAGGCTGGTCTTGAACTCATTATGTAATCTAGACTAGCCTTGACTGTGCAGCAATCTGCTCAGCCTCCACTATAACCACAGGCCTGTGCTACCACACCCAGCTGTATCACCATTTTATGCATCAATCATAGAAGACTACCTAAAGCCAAATGCATTAGCGAAAACAGAACCTTCATTCATCCATCCTCCACAGTCCATCCACTCATAGCTGTTTGGGATGTTTGTTAATGCACCTGCCTCTACCTTTAATGACTACGTTAGTAGCACTTACCCAATAGTGCAGCTCATCCCAACCACATGCATTTGCCCAACAAAATGACTGCTTTCACACTTTAATAAAAAGTCTTCACTCAGTGAGAAAAACAAACTCAAAAGAGTATTAAAGCCTTCCCAAAAACCTGAAGTCAAACTCTTCTTCATTCATGCCACTCAACAGAAAACTACTTATCACCAGACACTGATAGTCCTTATGTTCACAAACTGTGAGTATGGAAACATTTTAAAGTTTGAATATGCCTAATATAATTCCAGACCAATGGCTCTCAACTGGGCAGTTCTGCCCCCTAGTGGGCATTTGGTGATGTTATGAGACAGTTTCAGTTTTTACAATTAAGGGATTGCCATTGCATGTAGGAAGCAGAAGGCAGAGACACTGCCAAACATCACACAATGCACAGTTCCTCAGCCCCACAGGAAAAATTATCTGGACAAATATCAGTAGTGCTGAGGATGTGATGGCAGACCAAGTACCACATTCTAGACCAGCTACTTCGGGCCACGGATGATGAAATGGAAGGTTAAGAAACACTAAGTGATTCACCATGAAGCTGATTAGTGCTGTGTTAACTGCTGTCACATGAAAAGTGTTCATCATGGGCAGGCATTCTCTTTATCAGCATCCCGAGAACTAAACTGCAAGCCCTCACCAGGTAAAAGGGTTTTTACATGTGTGCGTGCTTACTCACTGAAAATGACAGGTTTCTGTACCATTCCGATGGCTGTTGCTATTTAGAGGTTACCTGGCATTTCCTACAAGAGCACGCTTTGCTTTCATTTAAGACAGCCACAAACTCCAAGTGTCTGTCCCTTAAGGACATGTCCACTTGAGGGAAGGAACCTAAGGAAAACATCAGCAGATGCTCAAAACTCACTGACTACAGGAGGACAAAAGCTTTTCTGAATTCAGGAAACATGGGCACAGTCTAAGGGCACCTGGCTTATGTGTGCTTTTCTCATAAAGTTGTGGTGTCTGATACAAAAAAAAATTATAACTGTAGGAGAAGCTCGAAGAAAATTCAGGCAACAAATACAAACAACAAAGGAAGGAAGAATGAATTCATGGGAAAGGTGATTGTGGAACAAAAGAGGAAGCTGCTGACCTGGTTCGAGTTTATCCTTTATTACACTGCGCTGGCTTAAAAAGAAATCCTGTTTTAGAAGAACATGTCTTGTTAGCGCATCATCCATTTTCCAGAAAACAGACTGGATGCTAACAAGTGGGCAAGTGTTTAAGCCTGAATAAGACTAAGCAACCTCTCATTAACCAGAAAAGAAGCTATGAGGGAAACACCAAGTGCACAGGGGCTAGTTACTGCACACTGCACTTCCTTAGCGCCATCTTGTAACAAATGGAAGGCAGGCAGCCTTCCGACGGGACTGTTCTTGTTAACTCATGAACCAGTCAAGTTTATATCAACCAAGGCACCAGGACTCACAAGCAAATACTTGGCAAGTACATGGTCCAAACTGCTGGCCTGAGAGTCACAAATAATATCTTACTACAAAGATTGTGGAATTACAGAGCTAGAGAGATAAAGGGAACCTCTCATTAGTTAGTGAAATCCCTATTTCAAAAAATAGGTAACATGAGAGGCATAAAAGTCCTGTTACTGATGCCTAAAGGAAACCAATCCTGGACCAAAAAAGGACAAAATAGAGCAAGAGGATAAGAAGAAAAGATTACAACCAAATAATTATTAATGTTTATTCAAACTGATACTTAATAACAAAAGAGGGCTGAGGGTATAGCTAGTGGCAGAGCACCTGCCTGGAAGCACAAGGTCCTGAGTTCAATCCCCAGTACCAAAAAGATAAAAATAACCAAAGAGTGCTGTTTAACATACATTTTCTGAAGTATTTCTGCCACAGGGCCATTGCAATGGCTATGTAAGAACATGGCCACCTAGTCCTATATCAAGACCTAAAGACCACCTGGATTTCTCCACCTAACACACTTCTCCTGGTCTCTGAGTCACACAGGAGTTCCTCACTCTTGTTCTGCCTTCTGTTATGTTTCTCTGTATTAACAGATACGTCAAGCAGAAACCCAGGCATACTCTGCTCAGATTACACAGATTAAAGGAATATGATTCATACATAAAAACACAAATCCATCAGGCTAATATGCTAGACAAAATTTATGTCTTCCTCATTTTATCAACTTATTTTTGTCCTCAAGAATACTTCAATTACAATGGGCTTTTTCCCCCCCCAACTCAATTTAAAGGCTTGGCTTCATATTTAAATTTTTTCATAGCTACATAGACCTATGCAACATCTGGTTTATAATTATCATTATTATCTTCATAATCTTCATTATCATTTAAAACTAAGATTAGCAAAGCCCTATTTTTACTCCATGATTGTGCATTGAGATCTCTACATAAATTACTTCATTCATTCCTCAAGAGAATTGTAACTATTGCTTCTCACATGAGCAAATTCTAGATTTGAGATGTTAGGTACTGTCCCAACTCACTCAGCTAGTAAGAGTGTAAAATGGATTTAAATCCAGTCTTATCTACCCACATAGTATGACCCTTAAGCCTAATAACACCAGGATAACTTTATATAACTGTCCTCAGTTTGGCTTTCTGTAGCACAAGTCTTCCAGATCGTGCATCCTGCTTCCTTCTTCCCAGAGAGCTCTAAGGACACTTTTCTGTCGCTCGGCTTTCGGGGAACATGGGCAACAACAGACTTGGAAAGACTGGGTCCAATTCCAACTCCAAAATTCACAAGGCTGTGAACCTTACATTTTACATCTGTACAACAGAGACTGAAATGTCTGTATCACACAGTTGTTTCAAGGATTCAATGAGCAATCGTTTGTCCAATGTCCAGCACTGGAACTAGGACATAACCAGTTCTATGGTCCAGGTGTGCTCTCTGTATCCACATACGCAAATGTATTCACTAACAACAGGAACATAATCACAAGCAAGAACAGTACCAAAGGCCTCCATTATATTTTCTTTTCAAAAAGGAAAAAGTATTTGATTTACTCTGACAGAGAACAAGAGAGGTACACAGTGGATTCAGGCCTGCTTAGCAGTCGAATGCCCTTGGTCAACTCTCTTCATGCCTGGCTATTGTATTGTTTCTGCCTGCATGGCGAGGAGGGTTAGGGTGATCAATAGAGGGGAGTACCTGATACTACAGGGGATGACATAGGCTTACTACAGCAATGCAGCTGGACAGCTGTAAGTATCAAATCCAACTGTTATTTTTATCATTAAAGTTTCCTTCGGCCTGGTAACCAACCAATCCAAACCAGATACAACTTCAAACTTACATACAATAACTTATAATTTGTAGAAATCATATCTTTAAATACAAAATTATTTTTACTCAATGGTATGTCCCTTGGGTAATATTATGAAATACTTTTAATATTAAAATAATATGCACTGAATATGTAAAATTTGGAAAATATAAAAGAACTAAAAAATTAAGCTCATGCATGGTACCCTTATCCAGGACAACGCACTGTCGGGCTTTTAGCATTTTCTTCTGCTCTGCTCCCAGACCTCTTTCGGTGGGCATGTAGTTTAACAGTAACTGACTATCAAAATTTTATATGGAGTTTTAAGTTCTAT